AATGAAAATGATGATGATGATGATGATAATAATAATAAAAATAAAAAACAAACTTGGTTGATACCTAGGATGCTGGCAGCAGCCGGTATCAACCATTAGCACCAGTCAATGGTATTTGTGATGCATTTTTGAATGTTCAGTTGACTGAGTTTCATGTTTAATGAATAAAGTAAATAATAATAATGAAAATGATGATGATGATGATGATAATAATAAAAATAAAAATAAAAAACAAACTTGGTTGATACCTAGGATGCTGGCAGCAGCCGGTATCAACCATTAGCACCAGTCAATGGTATTTGTGATGCATTTTTGAATGTTCAGGTTGACTGAGTTTCATGTTTAATGAATAAAGTAAATAATAATAATGATAATAATAATGATGATAATAATGATGATAATGATGATAATAATAATAATAATAATAATAATAATAATAATAATAATAGTAATAGTAATAGCCACCACCTTTGTTGTCACTGCACAAGGTATGTACAATGAGATTGCTGGAGCTCCCTCAGTGCACCCCCCTAACACAATACAACTCGCAGGGAAGACAGAAAATCCCTAACCCAATAAATCATATTAACAAAACACCCAGTCCTATTGCACCAGTGTGAACATGTTACACATTGTGTTGGGGGGGGGGGTGCACTGAGGGAGCTCCACCAATCTCATTGTACATATGTTGTGCAGTGACAATAAATGATGATGATGATCTTTATTCATTAAACATGAAACTCAGTCAACAGAACATTGCATCACAAATACCATGGACTGGTGCTAATGGTTGATACGGGTTGCTGCCAGCGTCCTAGGTATCAACCAAGTACTTTCTTAAGATGTACTCATCATCATCATCATCATCATCATTTACTTTATTCATTAAACATGAAACTCAAGTCAACTCAACATTTAAAAATGTGTCACAAATACGATTGACTGGTGCTATTGGTTGATACGGGTTGCTGCCAGCGTCCTAGGTATCAACCAAGTACTTTCTTAAGATGTACGATGTTCCGAATAGCAGTTTTTTGCAGTTCCGCTGGTGTTATTGCAGGAAGCTGCAATTTGCTGATGTATCTTATAAAATTCTTGGACATGGTACCAAGTGCCTCGATGACAATGGGTATCACTGTTACATGTTTATGTTTATATTTATATTTGTTTATGATTATTATTATGATTATTATGATTATTATGATTATGATTATTATTATTATTATTATTTAATCTTTAGTGAGATTCACAGCCTTTGAGGCTGGTTAATAGCTCACAGCTCGAGTCCTAACCAAGGACCGAGGAACTGTTAAGGTATCGTCGGAGGATGTAAGCTGTTCCGAGTAAGGTGGTTTTTTGTAGAGTCAAAATGTTCAAGTCCGGCAAATTTAGAATTTCTAAATAGCGGGGTAGCCCTTTGGGTATTGCTCCAAGGGCTCCAATTACAATACGGGGACAACACACGATTTCTTTTTCCACAGTCGCTCAACTTCAATTTGCAAGTCCCGGTACTTTATTATTATTATTATTATTATTATTATTATTATTATTATTATTATTATTTATTGGTTAATCTTTAGTGAGATTCACAGCCTTTGAGGCTGGTTAATAGCTCAGCAGCTCGAGTCCTAACCAAGGTCCTAGGAACTGTTAAGGTATCGTCGGAGGATGGAAGCTGTTCCGAGTAAGGTGGTTTTTTGTAGAGTCAAAATGTTCAAGTCCGGCAAATTTAGAATTTCTAAATAGCGGGGTAGCCCTTGGGTATTGCTCCGAGGGCTCCAATTACAATCGGGACAACACACGATTTCTTTTTCCACAGTCGCTCAACTTCAATTTGCAAATCTCGGTACTTTGTGATTTTTTTTCTTGCTGCTTATCTTCAATCCGTGCATCGCCAGGTATTGCAATGTCAATGAACCATACATTATTATTATTATTATTATTATTATTTATTATTATTATTATTATTATTATTATTATTATTATTATTATTATTTAGCAGCTAGGGTGATCCTATTAGCCAGAATTTGTGGCAGGGTAGCCACTGGGTATTTTGGGAGTTTGGGGGGGGGGCTATGATTGGGGTACAGTCTCCTGTTCTTTTTTGCTGCAGCCCCCAGCCTCTAAAAACAGGAAAAGTCTACCTTGGTCTCACCTCAATTTTTTAAAACATCCGCACAACCGTCCCCATTTTGTTTTCCTACGCCTAAAATTTCCGGCAACGTTATATTGTTTTAGAACTGATGATGTTACCTAGTTGGGTCATGAAAGGTCTGCGAGAAAACCACCAAGCTCAGATAGCATCGAGGACCCCTTCACTTCTCTTCTTACTCCTCCGTCCTCTCTGCACACCCTACTCCAGGGGTGTCAAAACTCACTTTGTTGTCACGTGACATATCATGATTTTTTTCCTTCGGTCAACCAGGGGTGGGCGTGGCCAGCACCTGAACGCATCCAGCCCGCGAGTTTCATATCCCTGCCTTACTCCCTTTCGCACTGATGATGTTATCTAGTTGGGTCACGAAACGTCAGCAAGAAAACCAAGCTCAGAGAGCACCAAGTAAACCCTGAGCTACCAATATTCTCTTCTACTACAGCTTCTTCTCCTCCCCCCAAATGATTTATTCCACCCACCTTTTCAAAGTCACCTGGTGCTGGAAGCAAGTAAACCTTGATCAGGTCTTGCCTGCTGGCAACCACTCTGTGGCATGTGAGGGTATACGAGTGCCAGGAAACTGACATAATATAAGACAAGGCCTCAGTCTCCCAGATACCCAAGGTCTACTCTGCCTTTTTTTTTTTTTTTTTAATTTGATTTATATGCCGCCCTTCTCCGGAGACTCAGGGCGGCTTACAATGTGCTCAGCAATAGCCTTCATCCTTTTTGTATATATTTATACAAAGTCAGCTTATTGCCCCCACAAACTGGGTCCTCAATTCACCTACCTTAGAAAGGATGGAAGGCTGAGTCAACCTTGAGCCTTGGCAAGATTCGAACCCTGCAGTAATTGCAGGCAGCTGGTCTTAATAAGCTTAATAACAGGGTGCCTTAAACCCCTGTACTACCAAGGCTCCATCAAGGTCCATCAAGCCCCCTTTAAGAAATAACCACAATGGAGAATGACAACTCAGAGCTTTGTAGCGATAAAAGTCCATTAAAATGTCCATTAAAAAGGGCACACCGGAGAGGGCAGAAGAAGACTGGGTGATGGAGATTTTAATTTGATTAGTAGGTTACTATAAGGTTGTGTTACTCCACCTATTCTTCATTTTGCTGACAGCTGCAGGTTAAGACGTCTCATTATGATGGTTGTCTAGACATCCAGTCCTATCCTTGGGCATTTATTTAAATGCCTTATTGAACTGAATGTTTGAGCGTTAATATACATTGGGTGTAAAGGAATTTACTGAATTGATCTGTAAGGGTGATGTCTTTGGGTCCGATGCTTTAAGATATTTGGATCCCGTGCTTTAAGAGAGGCACCAAATAAATCCATGTACCATTGGTTAAACAGCTTCTATCCCAGAGCAGTAACTATATTGAATTCTACTGCATAGTGCAATATGAATGCAATATCAGGGGTTTTGAATTCAATTGTATAGAATGTGAAGGTGTTGTTTATTTATTTATTTATTTATTTATTTATTTATTTAATTAATTAATTAATTAATTTATATACCGCCCTTCTCCCAGAAGGACTCAGGGATATAAAATTTAAAAACAATTTAAGAAATATTAAATAATTTGGCCCATGTCTAATTAAAATAAAAAAATATTTTTTATGTATAATGTACACTGAAGATGGCATTTCATTTTGTTGTACGAGGTGCAATGACAATAAAGAAAAGCAAAAAGTAAAATTTGATTTTGAGGAGTAGGTTACTATAAGGTTATTCCACCTATTCTCCATTTAGCCGACAGCTGCGATTATTTCCAGCTCAGACATGGATATTGGTCGATTTGCCACGTCCACCAACGTAACATCTGAAGAAGCCACTTGCGCATCAGTTTTATCCATGCGCTCCGAATAATCCAGATGTGCCCAGCCAGCCTTAAAAAAAATTCAGGTAGTCCTCAACTTATGACCATAACTGAGCCGGACATTTGGTGGCAAGTCGTGACCGCAGTCATGATTTTAATGGCTTTTTTCTGCATCGAATTTGGCAAGCCTAACTGAATATAGTTGTGATAGGGCACATTCAGGAAAATCTGCTTAAGTGGGAAAAAAGGTATAAACCTATCAAGGTCATGACATGGGATGCGACGGAAGTTCGGATTGTGGGAAGTTGTGGGTGCTCCTTCACTGAAGATTTTCGAGAAGAGATTTGTCCGGAATGGAATAGTGTCTCTTGCTTGAGCAGGGGGCTGGACTAGATGACCTCCAAGGCCCCTTCCAACTCTCATTTTTTGGGTCCCGATTTCTTTTTCCAAAATTCCAATGGATTTCAAGAAAAGACACTTCCATCTACTTACCTTCCCACCGTTGTTCAAAGCTCTAGGGTAGTGATGGTGAATGTTTTCGGCACCGAGTGCCCAAACCAGAACGCACGTCCATGTGTGTGCGCCGGAAACCTAAGACCAGCTGGCCAGCGTGCATGCGTACGCTGGCCTGAAAATGACCAAAAAACGACCCAAAAAATGGCTCAAAAACAACCAAAAATCGGCCCAAAAAATGGCCTGAAAACGACCAAAAATCGGCCCGAAAATGACAAAAAAACGGTCTGAAAAACACCCTGGTTTTTTTGGCTGGTTTTACCATTTTTCAGGCCGTTTTCAGGCTGTTTTTCTGCATTCCAGTGCCTGCGAAGACCAGCTGGCTGGCGCCTCAGAAACCAGAAGAGTAGTTGACGACGGCTCGTGTGCCCACAGTGACGGCTCTCCGTGCCACCTCTGGCACGCATGCCATAGGTTTGCCATCATGACTCTAGAGATTTCGCCCACAAGTTCTCCCATACACACACACACAAAAAAAAAAAACCAGACAGGAAAACCCACACAATTTTGTCAATTTGATTCCGTTTATTACAAAAAAAAGGTCCAGAAAATTAGTGTCATGATGCCTACCAAATCCTTTGAGGATTTATATCATTGTTCTCTCAACTGAGCAGAGCTTAAATTGGATAGAAAACGTGGTGAGAACCTCATATCTCCCCCAAAAACCCCATGACCGATTTTTTTAAGAAAGAAATTTAGAAATCTCTTTTAGAAAAGATGGGTGTGTAATGTTCTACCCATGATTTTTTAAGGCATTGTGGGTGAAACTCTCCAAATTTTTCACATCCTTGGCAAGTTATATGTTCTGTACCGTACGAGTTCCAGGTATATTAAGTAAAGAAAGAAGCAGACATTCTGCGAGCTTCGGAACTTAAAATTTTAAGTTATGGAGCTCGCAGAATGTCTGCTTCTTTCTTTACATACATATGAGAATTTGATCCCATGTGACCTGCAAATGTTTTTTTTTTTACGAAGCAGAGAGAAGAATGCTATAAACTCACCTAGGGGCTGCAAATAAACGTATATATACAGCTCACAAGGTTCTGAAGAATCAGGCAAGACTTAACTAAAATATAATCCCGACAGGGCACGTTTAGGAGTAAAGATTCAGGAATTTGCTTAACAAAAGAAAGAAAGAAAGAAACATATCCAGAGCCACCAGGGCAGAAGAGAAAAACGGAATAAGTCCTGCTTCTATAAAGTTTAGCAGATATAAACGTGCCATGTTAAATTGGGGGTTTTAAACAATGCAAGAGACACACATCGAAGGATGCAAAGGAGGGAGCAAAAATAATAGGTGCCATATTGTGATGCTACATTCATGCATAGCAAGACGCGAAAGTAGATATAAGCGATGTTATTATACGTATACGCAGACAGGTGGGTTCGATTTTCCAATGTGAACTTCAAGGGTTTTTTTTTTAGCTGCACTGGGTCATATATCCTGGTCCGGCATCCAAGCATGAACCTCTCCAATCCATTAGTGTCATCATTGAAATTCAATTTCAATTCATGGCCCCTTTGCCTTAAGACCATCGAGTCCCCGCTGCAAGGAAAAGCACAAGGCAAGAGTTTAGAAGGATGGCTGGCGTACAGGTAGTCCTCGACTTACGACTCCCTCATTTAGTAACCAAAGGGACAACGGCACTGGAAAAAAAAGGAACCTTATGACTGGTTTTCACGCTCCCGACCATGGCAGCATCATCCCTACGCTCAGGCGATCAAAATTCAGACGCTTGGCAACTGGCAGGTACTTATGACTGTTGCGGCGTCTTGGGGTGTGTGTGTGTCATGTGATCCACTTTTTGCGACCACCTGTTGTGGCCCGTCAGCGGCCTGTGCTGATTGTAGCTGATTCTGAGAGCGAGGAGGCTGGTGTGGTGCTGCACCAGCAGCCTGTGCAGCTGGCATTCGAGTCAGACAATGAGGAGGCTGGAGAAGATGTGGTGCCAGAGGCGGGGATTCAGCCAGGGCCTTCAGAACCTCCAGAAGCTCCCTTAAGTGAAGAGGAAGAAGAGGAGGAGCCTCTTCTCAATGCACGGACGCGCAGAGCTGCCAAAAGGCAGGAGTGGCTCCTCAGGAGAAGGTCTCCTCGAAAGTAAGGCTTGGGGCTAATTGGCCATTCCCTTAGCCTATTTAAGGAGGAACGCCGACTGAAGCAATTTGCAGGGAACAACTTTAGTTCACTCTCCTTCACGTCTGGATTCTCTGCAAATTGCTTCTGGGCTTTCTGCCAACCATAGTAAGATTGTGATTACCTTATCTCAGAATTCTTGTAGGCTGTTAAGACAGTTTATTAACAGCCTTTGTTTTGAAAAAGACTGAGTTATTTTAGTAAATTAAGTTTTGTACAAACTTTGTGTGTGCTGTGTTCTTTAGGATCCATAGCTGGGGCAGAACACCACCTGAGAAGCAAAGTCGAAGAGGGGGGGAGCCAGATTCGCTCAACAACCATGTTAGTCAACTTATATCGGCTGGCGACCCCCCGGGGAAGAGCCTTCTCTGTGGGGGCACCCGCCCTCTGGAACGAGCTACCCCCAGGGATACAACTAATCCCGGACCTCCGGACCTTCCGCCGGGCCCTGAAGACTTTTTTATTTCAGCAAGCCGGGCTGGGTTAAAAAAATTTTAATTGGGGAATTTTATGGGTAAGGGGTTTTGAATTGGAGAAGCCAAAGATAATTTAATTTCGTTTTAATGTATTTTAATATTTGTATTGTGTGTTTTTAATTCTGGCTGTTCACCGCCCCGAGTCCTTCAGGAGAGGGGGCGGTATAAAAATTTAATAAATAAATAAATAAATAAATAAATAAATTTAACCGCCGCGGTGATTCGCTTAACAGCGGTGGCAAAGGAAGGCCGTAAAATGGGGCGAAACTCTCTTTTGACAGTAGAAACATTGGGGCTCAATGGTGGCCGTAAGCAGAGGAGCTCCCCCCCTTTTTTTTTTTTTTTTTTTTTGCTGGGCTGGAAATAAAAAGATTTTGTTGCATTGTCTTACCTTTTAAATGCTCGGCAGAATTTTTTTAAAAAACCCTTTTTTTTGCCTAATAAACAATTCCTGTGCTTTTAAATTAAGCACTGCCTTCTTCGCACACACACACACACACACGGCAGGGATTTTACGAATATCAAAACAGTTTGCCTGCCTTGAGGCACATAGGCAAGGCCGGGTTCAACTGAGGGCATGAGAGAGAGAGAGAGACTGCTATTGTGGTCTGTGTGAGTTTTTTTTGCCAGGGTCCATTTATAAAGTGTGTAATTTTGGAGGTTTCCAGCCAGATCAGAAAAACTGGAAGTGGCTGAGCGAAGGCATGGGGGAGAGAAATGAAATTCAGAAAGGCTACCTGAATGGAGACAGGAAGTGCCAAGAAGTAAATACGACGGTCGTGCGGTACCCTGTGAAGTGACAGAACTACTGTGGCTTGATGCTCGCACAGATCACAGTCCAAAACGGCAGGTTTTAAACGCCGTAGGCCTATTAAAAATTCAGCAGTTAACGTGTAAGAGGTTTGCACAAGATCTATTGTGCTGCTTGCAGAGTAGGGATGTGGCTATCGCACAGGCGAGAGTGAGGCAGTGAAGGTTTTTCTAGCAAATGGTTATCTTGGGTCTAATAATTCAAGTGAAGGATGTCCTCCGCTTTGGATCAGAGTTAGGGGAGGGGAGGGGAAAAGAAAGGAGAAATGAAAAGAAATGAGGAAAGGGAAAGGGAAAGGGAAAGGAAAGGAAAGGAAGAGGGAAAGGAAAGGAAGTGAGAAAGGAAGAGGGAAAGGAAGAGAAAGGAAGAGAAAAGGAAAGGGGAAAGGAAAAGAGATGAAAGGGGAAAGGAAACAGAGAGAGGAAATGAATGGAAAGCGAAAAAGGAAAGGGAGGAAAGGAAATAGAGAAGGAAAGGAAATAAGGAAAGGAAAGGAAAGGAAAGGAAAGGAAGAGGGAAAGGAAGAGGGAAAGAGGAAAGGAAAGGAAAGGAAAGGAAAGGAAAGGAAGAGGGGAAGGAAAGGAAGAGGGAAAGGAAAAGAAAGAAAAAGGAAAGGAAAGAAAGAGGGAAAGGAAAGGAAAAGAAGAGGGAAAGGAAAGGAAGAGAGAAAGGAAGAGGGAAAGGAAAAGAAAGGAAAAGAAAAAGGAAAGGAAAGAAGAGGGAAACGAAAGGAAGAGGGAAAGGAAAAGAAAGGAAAAGAAAAAGGAAAGGAAAGGAAAGAAGAGGGAAAGGAAGAGAGAAAGGAAAGGAAGAGGGAAAGGGAAAGGAAAGGAAAGGAAGAGAGAAAGGAAAGGAGAAAAGGGAAAGGGAAGGGATCTCAGCTCACACAGAGAAAGTGATAAGCCAACATGACTCACAAGGATCTACTCAAACAGTAGGGCAATTCACTAAACCACCATTAACCATGGTTACTGGAAACTTCCAAAGTGATGGTTACTCCGGTTTAGACACTGGTCTGAACTCCTGATTAAGTTTCCAACATCCAACCTAAAAGAAGACCTGGGCTCATTCTGCAACCTTCTCCCCCAGATGATGTCCCTCATCACCTCACTTTGGCACCATCAGACCACGATGGTAGTCTGACTGCTATGGCGATGCCAGACCGATTTTAAAAACCCCACATATCCGTTATCGCAAGGAACGGAGGGTTATTTTTCAACCTTTTGCAAAAATATGCTTGGCAGGAACCAGACCAAGAGGCATTTGCAAAAAAGCAACTTGAGATAACAGAGGAAAATTATGTAAACGTTTTTTCAAGAAGGCTTCCTTCCCCATCTTTCTTTTTCCTCGTTTTAAAATGTTCTTCCGCGATTAAGCCTAAGCGAAATAAATGAGTTATTAAGCATCTGGAGGGATTTAAAAATGACTTACACTCCAGAGCTGCTCCAGATGTTATCTGTAACGAACTGAAGATAAAGGGAATTTAAAGGACTGGTCTCCTTTAAATTCTTTTTTTTTTTTTTGGCGTTTTTTGGAAAAATCAGGATTTATGGGACGTGTTCCTCTCTTTCCAGAAAGCAAAACAAAAAAATGACATCCCATCATTTTTAGGAGCTATTTCTGCAACTCTGGCAGATTCAGAAGCTGTGATCCATGGGGGGAAAGATAAACCTTGGTCAGATTTTTGCAATCTTAAGCAAAAGGGTGGAGAAAGAATGCGAGACTCCTTTACAAAAAAAATCTGCTATCACAGACAAATTAGGCATAAAGAACTTTCCGTGTTGTTGCGTTTCTGGTCTGTTCTTCTTTCTGGCAGCCCAGGGCAGCCTGGTTAATATACCTCCTCCCATTTAATTCCTACAAGAACTTCCAAGGCTAATGGAATGGCATAGTTAGGGAAAAAAACCTTGGGAGACAAACTGATAAGAGATGGCACAGTCCATAGCTGCATAATGGGTGGAGAAAGATGCTCAGAAGGGACCCTCCCTAGTTTCTGGGAATGTAAAGGAGAAGGCCGTAATGGTATGTGGGAAAAACCTTGGCAGCCAGGGAGATGAGATGCTGCCTAGGGAATGATTAGATAATGGACAGCATAGCCCTCAGCTTCCTAATGGGCGGAGAAAGAGACTCAAGAAGGGACCCTCCCTAGTTTCTCAGGCTGCAAAGGAGACGGCTATAATGGTATGTGGGAAAGACCTTGGGAGTTGGGGCAGAAAAGGAGAGGAGAGAGGCTGCCTAGGGAGCAATCCAATAAGAGCCGGCATAGCCCACAGCTGCATAATGGGTGGAGAAAGAGACTTAAGAAGGGACCCTCCCTAGTTTCTTTGGCTGTAAAGGATATGGCTGTAATGGTGTGTGGGAAAAACTTTGGGAGACGGAGAGATGAGATGCTGTCTAGGGAATGATTAGATAATGGACCGCTTATCCAGCAGCTAGACAATAAGTAGGACAAGAGGCTCAGAAGAGACCCTCCCTAGTTTCTCAAGTTGTAAAAGAGATATGGGGGGGGGGAGAGAGACACAAAATACAGGTAGTCCTCGACTTACAACATTTAGTGACTTTTCAAACTTAGAGCAGCACTGAAAAAAGCGACTTATGACATTTTTTCACTCTTACAACCACAGTCACGGGACCAAAATTCAGATGCCTGCCAACTGGTTCATACTTATGACAGTTGCAATTGTGGCCCAATTGTGATCGTATGTTGAGGACCACCTGAAATTTTAAAACTTGCAAGATTCATCCATGTACCGTGTTTCCCCGAAATAAGACCCTGTTTTATTTATTTTTTTGAACCCTGAAATAAGCGCTTGGCCTTATTGCCATGTGCTCAAAAGCCGGATTGGCCTTATTATCAGGGGATGTCTTATTTTGGGGGAAACAGGGGTAGCTTTGCAATAGAAGTTGTTCTGGAATCAGAAGTAGGGAATCGATGCAATAAATTCCATTGCCTATTGAAAGCTCCTGCTTTTTTTTTTAAAAAAAAAGAAACCCTATTATTTCCAATTTTTGTAGCCAACAAAATTGGGCTATTCCCTCGCTCTCCCAGCAGCGGACAGATACCCCTTCCTGGCTGCAACCATGCGGGAAAACTTGGCTGCCCTCTTTGACGCTGACTCAAGCCAAGTTTAGTTATGACACTTCCTCTTTCCCAGGAAAAGTTTCCATTCCGATCGCTCCAGTTATGAAGTTTTAAGAAGCGACTGAACAATTTTCTTTTCTTCCTTGTTTTGTTTTTTTGCAGGAGCAGCCGAGCCGGGGGGGGGGGGGGGGGGGGGGACCCAGACCATGTGGATATCTCATTCCCCAAAAATGTGGATCCCACAGAATTCTGGCTCATTGCTGTGTCTAGACTGGGAACGGTTACATGAAGCCGGTTTTCAAAAATCTGTTTTTGGAAAAGCAGGGTTGTCTTTCTTTCTTTTTCTTTCTTTCTTTCTTTCTTTCTTTCTTTCTTTCTTTCTTTCTTTCTTCTTTTCTTCCGTCCTTCCTTCCTCCCTCCCTCCCTCCCACCCTCCGTCCCTCCCTCTTTCTCTCTCTGTTAGGAAACAGGCCTCTTCAGGAAGCAAAATGAAGATTCAATGGCCTCTTTCAGAATGCTTCTGCCCATCATCGATTTGAAATGGACGGCCAGCCAATCGGCAACAACTTCCTGGGAGGAGCTATAAGTGGGGGAGGAGCTATAAGTGGGGGAGGAGCTATAAGTGGGGGGAGGAGCTTGCTTTCCCAAATTTTAATTTTCTATTCTTCCAGGGCGTGGAGCAGTGGTGGGTTTCAATTTTTTTTTTACTACCGGTTCTGTGGGTGTGGCTTGGTGGGCGTGGCAGGGGAAGGATACTGCAAAATCCCCATTTCCTCCCGATCAGCTGGGACTTGGGAGGCAGAGAATAGATGCGGGCAAGGCCAGTTAGAATTTTTACTACCGGTTCTCCGAACTACACAAAATTTCCGCTACCGGTTCTCCAGAACTGGTCAGAACTTGCTGAAACCCCACCTCTGGCATGGAGGGTGGGTGGGGGGAAACCTGTTCCCATTTTGGTTGAAGCCAAAAGTCTCCCAATCGAAAGCCGAAAGTTGTCTTCTCCATCCTGGCTGTTCGGTGTCAAGGTTCACGGAGAGAAGCAATTAAGGGGAATTAAGGGGAAACTTCCTAACAGTGAGGACAATTAACCAGTGGAACAGCTTGCCACCAGGAAGTTGTGGGTGCCCCATCACTGGAGGTTTTTAAGAAGAGACGGGATAGTCACTTGTTTGAAATGGTATAGGATCTCCTGCTTGAAGAGGGGACTGGACTAGAAGACCTCCAAGGTTCCTTCCAACTCTATTCTGATTCTGACTCTAATCTATTATCTTCGGACATAACAATGAATGTTACAGGATATATTGAGTTTGGCTTCTCCTTGGAAACCATTTCTAGACTTTGTGCTCAAGGCAGAAAACAAAAATGAAATCTTGACTCGGGGATCTGCTGATTAGTTTGTGGTTATAGAAAGGCTAGGGTTCACCAAGTATGTAAAAGTAAAAAGTTGAGGCTATAATTTTATTTTTTTATTCTACTGCGCTGAAAAAAGTTAGAAGTCAACTCTTTCTTTCTTCTCTTTATCTTATAGTTCCTTCCTTTCTTCCTCTCTTTCTTTTTCTCTTTCTTTCTTTCTCTTTATTTGTTTCTTTCTCTTTCTTTCTTTCTTTCTTTTTCTCTTTTTTTCTTTTCTTTCACCTTCCTTTCCTTCTTTTCCTTCCTTTCCCTTTTCCATTTCCCTGCTATCTTTATTTTTATTCATGATTTATATTATATTTTTATACAATCTTTATGAAAATAAAAGACATGATAAGGGATGTTTCTTGGTTCTGGTCAGCGTGTTGGTTCCATCCAGCATTGTGGCAGCTAAATCAGCAAACTATGTTAAAAAGCAACATGGTTAAAAGAAATGTATAAACCTCAGTTATTAGTTCCAGGAAATCCTGTACCTCTGCTCCTGAATAAGTTGTGCAGATGCCATAATGACTGGAATAAAATCATCGGAAGAAAAATCTAAGCTTTTAAACTTCAATCGTTGCAATAACTTTCCAAGTTGCGGGAAATGCTTGACATGAATGTTACGTTCTCCCAACCACACAAATATTTTGAGTTCGTATTTACTTCAAACAAGGAAAGCAAAAAAGCAACGAAAGAAAAAAATAAATAAACTCCCTTCCATGTGGAAACTGTTACAAACCCTTAAGGTAGGAAGAATACAAGTCACGTTGTTTTAAGGTTTTAACATTTTAACAGGTCAGCAAAACACAGCTGGTGCTCAAAATTGACCATTTAAACAGCACCCAACCTACTAAAAGGTAAAAGTAAAGGTGAGCACATATGTGCTAGTCGTTCCCGACTCTAGGGGGCGGTGCTCATCTCCGTTTCAAAGCCGAAGAGCCAGCGCTGTCCGAAGACGTCTCCGCGGTCATGTGGCCGGCATGACTCAATGCCAAAGGCGCACGGAACGCTGTTCCCTTCCCACCAAAGGTGGTCCCTGTTTTTCTACTTGCATTTTTTTTACCTGCTTTCGAACTGCTAGGTTGGCAGAAGCTGGGACAAGTCACGGGAGCTCACCCCATTACATGGCACTATGGATTCGAACTGCTGAACTGCCGACCTTTCGATCGACAAGATCAGTGTCTTAGCCAGAGCCACCGCGTCCCTTAAGCGGTTTATAGAGTCTGCCTCTTGCCCCCCCCAACAATCTGGGTCCTCATTTTATTGACCTCGGAAGGATGGAAGCCTGAGTCAACCTTGAGCCGGTGAGACTCGAACTGCTGGCAGCAGGCAGTCAGCAGAATTAGCCTGCAATACTGCATTCTAACCACTGTGCCAACACGGCTCCTGTCGTCCTTATACCATCTCACACTCAAATGGTTGTCCAGCCTTTTCTTGAAAACCTCCAGTGATGGAGCGCCCACAGCTTCAGGAGGCAAGCTATTCCACTGGTGAATTGTTCTCACTGTCGGGGAAATTTCTCCTTAATTCTAGGTTGGATCTCTCTTTGATAATCTTCCATCTGTTACTTCTTACCCTGCCCTCTGGGCCGTAACCCGGAAGAGAGGCTGCCCAGGGTGCATGCGCGCACCCGAAAATGAACTTCCGGTTTCAACTACCGAACTTCCGGTTTCAACTACTGAACTTCCGGTTTCAGCCAGCTATTCTTCTGGGTTTCTGGCACGCATGCGCGCCTGACGATCAGCTGGCCGGCGTACATGCAGGAAAACGGAAAACCAGCTTTTCTAGTTTCCGGCACTGCCGCATGTAAAAAGGCCAGCTGATTGTCGCACGCGCATGTGTGCCAGAAACCCAGAGGAGGAACAGGCGACGCCACGCATGCCAGTGTTGTGGTCCGCCAACAGCCTGCAGAGCTGGCAGCTGAGTCGGACAGTGAGGAGGCTGGGGAGGAACATGGGCCAGTCCTGGAGGCTGGGGAAGGCCCGGATGAGGGCTCTGTATCGGAGGCAGAGATGGAGCCAGGGCCATCGGGGAGTGATGCGCGGACTCCAGAACCCCCCGATAAGAGAGGCAGAGGAACAGGAGGAGCCTGTTCCAAGTGCACACATATGCAGAGCTGCCAGAAGGCAAGAGCAGCTAAAGCAAAAGGGACAACTCGGGAGTAAGGCCGGGAGATGATTAGCCCCTCTCAGAAGGCTTAAAAGAGAAACAAAGGCACTTGGGCCTTTTGCAGGAAAGCAACGTTGCTAACTCTGTTTCCAGTCGGCGTCTCTTGTTTGTTTCTGAACTCCGTGGGGCTTTGCCAAGTTTGGCAGGGTGTCAAAGACGACAAAGGTTAGTGATTATCCCGAAGGACTTCTTCCGAAGGACTTTTGTTGCAACTAATTGGGACTCAGCTGGGAATGAAAGTAATTCTCAGCTGTTACAACAAAATAGGGTTTTTTGGGACTAATTGTGTATTGTAATGACTCAGTAAGCCTAGGTCACAACAGCCAGGCGACATGGCTCCGTGTGCCACTTTGGGCACGTGTGCCATAGGTTTGTCATCACGGGGCTAGACATACCCAGCTCCCTCAACTGTTCATCGTACAGTTTAGCCTCCAGATCCTCCATCATCTTTGTGGCTCTTCTCTTGCACTCATTTCTAGGGTCTCGGCATCTTTTGTGTACCGTGTACAATCAGGTATTTGTATTCTGATTCCCAGCAGATTCTTCGACTGCTGTGCAAAGGGTTGATGAGACCTTTGATCTCACCCATCAGGGGGTTATTCGGCTACCCTCAGCCTCCCTTGCTGACGGCTGTTGCTCTCCGTACTTCGAGGGATGGGAACCTGATCTCTGTTCGTCTCTGCATCAACTCCCAAGAAAATAAACCGGTGTGCATCTCTGAAGCGTGGGAATATAAAGCCGTGCTTACCGTCAAAAGTCTTAGGATACCTCCTTACTCGTCCGCAGGTTTCATCCTCATCTGGGCTTGCATTTGGGCGATCATCTCCTGCATACGACGCAACTGGATGGGGAAGAAAAAGAGAGAAAATGCGGTGAGTCCAATTAGCAATAGCCCTTAGACTTATATACCGCTTCACGATGCTTTCCAGTGCTCTCTAAGTGGTTTAAAGAGTCAGCATCTTGCAAACCCCAACAATCTGGGTCCTCATTTTAGCGACCTCAGAAGGATGGAAGGCTGAGTCAACTGTGAGCCGGTCAGGATTGAACTCCTGGCAGTCAGCAGAGTTAGCCTGCAATACTGCATTCTAACCACTGTGTACCATGGATGGATGGATGGATGGATGGATGGATGGATGGATGGAAGGAAGGAAGGAAGGAAGGAAGGAAGGAAGGAAGGAAGGAAGGAAGGAAGGAAGGAAGGAATGACACAGCAATAGCAATAGCACTTACTTATATACCACTTCACAGTGTTTTCCCCGCCCTCTCTAAGCGGTTTACAGTGTCAGCCTCTTGCCCCCAACAATCTGGGTCCTCATTTTAGTGACCTTAGAAGGATGGAAGGCTGAGTCAACCTTGAGCCAGTCAGGATTGAACTCCTGGCAGTCAGCAGAGTTAGCCTGCAATACTGCATTCTAACCACTGTGTACCATGGATGGATGGATGGATGGATGGATGGATGGATGGACGGACGAAGGAAGGAAGGAAGGAAGGGAAGGAAGGAAGGAATGACACAGCAATAGCAATAGCACTTACTTATATACCACTTCACAGTGTTTCCCCACCCTCTCTAAGCGGTTTACAGTGTCAGCCTCTTGCCCCCAACAATCTGGGTCCTCATTTTAGCGACCTCAGAAGGATGGAAGGCTGAGTCAACTGTGAGCCGTCAGGATTGAACTCCTGGCAGTCAGCAGAGTTAGCCTGCAATACTGCATTCTAACCACTGTGTACCATGGATGGATGGATGGATGGATGGATGGATGGATGGATGGACGGACGGAAGGAAGGAAGGAAGGAAGGAAGGAAGGAAGGAAGGAATGACACAGCAATAGCAATAGCACTTACTTTATACCAACTTCACAGTGTTTCCCCACCCTCTCTAAGCGGTTTACAGTGTCAGCCTCTTGCCCCCAACAATCTGGGTCCTCATTTTAGTGACCTTTGAAGGATGGAAGGCTGAGTCAGCCTTGAGCCAGTCAGGGTCGAACTCCTGGCAGTGGGCAGAGTTAGCTTGCAATACTGCATTCTAACCACTGCGCCCCAGGGAGTATATGTGATGTAAGGCAATGCAATGCAATATGAAAATGTTAATGCATTGTAGTCCTTGACTTAAAACCAGTTACTTAACGACCGCTACAAAGGGACTTGAAAATATTACTTATGACCGGTCCTCAAAGTTACGACTGCCACATCACCCCCTACGGTCCTGGGATCACTTGATCACATTTTACTATGTTTTTGGCCAAAAAGTGCCCATTGGATAAAATCGATTTGGACTTATTGACCATGTGAATTGCTTAATAGCAATAGCCAATAGACTTATATAGCGCTTCACAGTGCTTTACAGCCCTCTCTAAGCAAACTCTACAGAGTTCATGTCCGTGGTGACTTGCTTAATGACCATTATCAAAATGGTTGCAACATCGAATTTGTCACGTGATGACAAATCGACTTACGGCCGCAGCGACTTACAAGTAAAATTCTGGGTTCCGTTATGGTCCTAAGTTGAGGACTACCTGTATTTAAAAAAAATCCACTCCATGGTGAAATTCAAATTTTTTTACTACCGGTTCTGTGGGTGTGGCTTGGTGGGCGTGGCAGGGGAAGGATACTGCAAAATCTCCATTTCCTCCCCACTCCTGGAGGAAGGATACTTTAAAATCCCCATTCCTTCCCCACTCCTGGGGGAAGGATATTGCAAAATCTCCATTCCCACCCCACTCCAGCGGAAGGATACTGCAAAATCCCCATTCTCCCCCACTCCTGAAGGAAGGATACTGCAAAATCCCATTCCCTCCCCTTCCTGGAGGAAGGATACTTTAAAATCCCATTCTTTCCCACTCCTGGGGAAAGGATATTGCAAAATCTCCATTCCCACCCCACTCCAGCGGAAGGATACTGCAAAATCTCCATTCCACCCCACTCCAGCGGAAGGATACTGCAAAATCTCCATTCTCACCCCAGTCCTGGGGGAAGGAATACTGCAAAATTCCCATTCCCTCCCCACTCCTGGGGGAAGGATACTTTAAAATCCCCATTCCTTCCCCACTCCTGGGGAAAGGATATTGCAAAATCTCCATTCCCACCCCACTCCAGCGGAAGGATACTGCAAAATCTCCATTCTCACCCCAGTCCTGGGGGAAGGATACTGCAAAATCCCCATTCCCTCCCCACTCCTGGAGGAAGGATACTGCAAAATCCCCATTCCCTTCCCACTCTGGGGCCAGCCAGAGGTAGTATTTGCCGGTTCTCCGAACTACTCAAAATGTCCGCTATCGGTTCGCCAGAACCTGTCAGAACCTGCTGAATTTCACCCCTCAATCAACTGGATTCTACAGAGTGAAGAACCCAAGAATTCCCATTCAGAAAACCACCAATAACAGGGAAGACGTTCCCACGATGCTGTTAACAGGCTGTTTGGTATTCAAGGTATGTTTTAACTAGCCACTAATCTGGAGGCATACGGCCAAAACATACAGGCTGCTTGCAATTATTATTTTCTTCGATTCTCCCGTGGGAATCATTTTCTCCCGTGGGACCTCTTTGGGTATTGCAGAAGCCACATTTTTCAAGTATGACCCACTGCTCACTCCATGCTATTTATGGACTGCAATTTTTCTTTTTTCCCGTCCATTCTGGCATTTACGGTAAAAGCCGAACAAGAAAAGACTAGAAGAATTTTTTAATAAAAATAACCGCGGCAGGAAGGGGGCGGAGGGACGACGAAGAATTCAGCCAAGAGCATGTCTGTGTTACTATAAAAACATTAAAAAAAAAAATCTACTTCCTAGTGGCTTCGTAAATGGGAATATATTTTGAGTCTCACCAGCTCAAGCCTTCCATATAGAATAAAATAACAGAGTTGGAAGGGACCTTGGAGGTCTTCTAGTCCAACCCCCTGCTTAGGCAGGAAACCCTACGCCACTTCAGACAAATGGTTATCCAACATCTTCTTAAAAACTTCCAGTGTTGGAGCATTCACAACTTCTGGAGGCAAATCATTCCACTGATTAATTGTTCTCATTGTCAGGAAATTTCTCCTTAGTTCTAAGTTGCTTCTCTCCTTGGTTAGTTTCCATCCATTGCTTCTTGTCCTACCCTCAGGTGCTTTGGAGAAGAGCTTGACTCCTTTTTCTTTGGGGCAGCCCCTGAGATATTGGAAGACTGCTTTCCTGTCACCCCGAGTTCTTCTCTTCATCAGACTAGACATCCTTCTGAGGTCGGTAAAATGAGGAGCCAGATTGTTGGGGGCAAGAGGCTGACTCTATAAACCGCTTAGAGAGCGCCGTAAAGCACTGTGAAGCGGTATATAAGTCTAAGGCAGGGGTCAGCAACCTTAAACACTCAAAGAGCCACAAAGGTCCTAACCGGAAGCCCTCCCTCCCCCCTCCCCCCACCCCGGTTCAATTCTGGAGCAGACCAGAAGTCTGGTTCCCCCACCGAAGAGTCTCCTCCTAGCGCAGCATCCTTTTTCCTCTACCTGCCCTAACTGAAAGCCCTATCAATTGTGGAGCTGACCAGCGACAAGGAGCCGCAGCAGAGAGATGAAAGAGCCACATGTGGCTCCAGAGCTGCGGGTTGCTGACCCCTGATCTAAGGGCTATTGCTATATCCAAGCATGAACAGTAATTTCAGCGCAGATTAAAACATCTCTATTCTCGTTCCTACTTCACTTTCTGGTTTATTCATTATCATCAGCACTATCTTCTCCAAATTCCTGCATTCTCTACATATTTAAGAGGCCCAGGGATTTTAGCAGCCACCAACTTTGTACAACATCCTGCTCTCTTGTGGCTTTATAACTCTCGCATCATTCAGACGCTTGGCAACTGGTTCGTATGCAAGACAGCTGCAGGGTTCCCAGGATCAATGCGACTCCCCCTTTTGCAACAAGCAAAATCAACGGAGAAGCCAGATTCACTTAACAGCCGTCTTGCTAACTGAACAACTGCAGCGATTCACTTAGCAACGGTGGCAAGAAAAGACATCAAATTGTGGGCAAAACTCACTTAATAAATGTCTCGCTTAGCAACAGAAATTTGGGGGCTCAATTGTAGTCGTAAATCAAGGGCTATCTGTAGCAGGGGTGGGATTCAGCCGGTTCGGACCGGTTCGGGCAAATTGGATGCTAATTTTACATCTGGTTTGCCGAACCGGTAGTTACAAGGACTGGCTGGCCCAACTCAGCCCACCCCTCAGAGGACTCTCCACGTGGCCCGTTTTGGATGCCAGGTAATTGCAGCACCTGCACGGAGGCTCTGGGAGGGTAAAAAACAGGCCACCCGGAAGTTCTGGAAATCTGGAAACGGGCCCGTTTGTGGCCTCCGTGGGGCCTCTGGAGCCTGGGGGAGGCCATTTTCACTCTCCCGGAGGCTTGAGGAAAGCCTACGGAGCTTGGGGAGGGCGAAAAACGGGCCTCCCAAAAGTCCAGAAACAGGCCCATTTACAGCCTCTGGAGGGCTTCCAGAGCACAGGGGAGGCCATTTTCGCCCTCCCGGAGGCTCAAGGAAAGCCTCCGAAGTTTGGGGAGGGCGAAAATCCCCACCCCACCGCCGTGGTGCAGGAGGCCGAGTGAGGCCACACCCACCCAGCAACCGGGCAGAGAACCGGTTGCTAAAATTTTTGAATCCCACCCCTGATCTGTAGCCAATATCGGCATCAGCTCAGTGCTCAAGTGCAAATTACTTTTTTGTCCTGGTTTTCTTTCGAGTCCCAGTGAATTTTTCGATCGGAATTATTTGAAGCAAATGAACAGAGAAAAGTTATCGGAGGATGCTGAGTTAAAGGAGGAGAATGCATCTTTTCCCATTTCGGAGACCAAGATTAAAAACCGGTAGACTTTTTGAGACCTGAGAGACTCAAAACTGTTGTGGTCTGCCCGCAGCCTGCGGAGCTGACAGCGGAGTCGGACAGCGAGGAGGCTGAGGAAGAACATGGGCCAGTCCTGGAGGCTGGGGAAGGCCCGGATGAGGGCTCTGCGTCGGAGGCAGAGATGGGGCCAGGGCCATCGGGGAGTGATGTGCGGACTCCGGAGTCACCAGAGTCTGACAGCAGAGAGGCAGAGGAATAGGAGGAGCCTGTTCCTAGTGCACGTATGAGAAGAGCTGCCAGAAAGCAAGAGAAGCTACAGCAAAGAGAATGACTCGGGAGTAGGGCCAAGAGATGATTGGCCCCTCCCAGAAGGCTTAAAAGACCAGCAACGGCTCTTGGGCTCTTTGTCGGAAAACAACGTTGATAGATTTGTTTCTTGTCTTGCTGCACTTATTTCTTGTCGGCGTCTTCTGCTTCTGAACTTTTGCCAAGAGAAGCCTTTGGCAGTTTGCCTAATTATACCAAGGTTGGTGATCAGACTGAAGAATTTGTGTTATGAAGAGTTTGTGTTAATTTAGTTTGGACTATGCTCAGAATGAGTTAATTCTCAGCTGTTCTAATAAAGTCTGTTTGTTTTGGAACTGTTTGTGTCTGATAATACCTACTTGGGCCTAGGTCACAACAAAAACATGCTTTTTGTTTCTGGAGAACTTTCCTGTCTCAAGACTCGTTTGGTTTTTTTTGAAAAAAGTAGTTAGCTTTATATTTGGAAGAAGGTATTTAAAGGCAGTTCAGGAAGCGAAAATCCAGGAGACAAAACACTAAACGAAGGCCGGTAAGGAAAAAGGCCAGTTTGGCAGCTGAAACAAAGCATGGAAAAGATTTAATTGTTCTCAAAAGTCAAGGATTTTTATCCTTTGATAAAATCCAGAATGACTATTGAGCAGGAGTTGATATCTTGATCCTGGTGAATCTGGCACTCTCCAAGGTCTGTCTGTCTGTCTCTCTCTCACATATGTACACGCACATTTATACACATGCACAGAGACACAAGCTCAGAAGGTTATATAAACTATCCAGATTTGTAAACAGAATTTCAAGCGCTGTTACTGCTCAGAATGTAAAACACTAAAAGGGAAATTGATGCTTGCGCTCCCAACAAAATCCAAGGAATGTAAACCCATTTCCTGTGTCTTTTTTAGTCCTGCTTTTCCATCTTCCTCGAGCATTATAAATACTGCTTTAGAGAACTGGCAGTTTCTTAGGTAAGAGGAAGGATAAACTGGCTTGCAAGAGGGTTACAACACTAAAAAAAAAATACCGAAGGACGTTTTTGAAGAAAGGAATCAGTAGCCACAATATCAACAAATTCAGTAGTGAGGTCTGCTTCTGTGGATAAGGTAAAGGTAAAGGTTCCCCTCGCACATATGTGCTAGTCGTTCCCGACTCTAGGGGGCGGTGCTCATCTCCATTTCAAAGCCAAAGAGCCAGCGCTGTCCGAAGACGTCTCCGTGGTCATGTGGCCGGCATGACTCAACGCCAAAGGCGCACGGAACGCTGTTCCCTTCCCACCAAAGGTGGTCCCTATTTTTCTACTTGCATTTTTTTAATGTGCTTTCGAACTGCTAGGTTGGCAGAAGCTGGGGCAAGTCACGGGAGCTCACCCCGTTATGCGACACTAGGGATTCGAACGATTGAACTGCCGACCTTTCGATCAACAAGCTCAGCGTCTTACCCACTGCATCCCTGCTGCTTCTATGGATAGATTACGTCTAAAAGATGTTATGGAGGATGTAGAAGAAATTTTATTTCACTAGAGATGGTACTGAAAATGGATTTACGTCAGAAGGGCCAGGAGAATGACTTAGAAAAGAATGTTTCACTGGATCGGCAAAAGAAACTGGCTCAGATTCTCCAAATGTAAAAGGGAAATTACAAGTGAGAAACCCAAGAAAGAAATCTGGGTAATCTTTTTTTTTACCTACCAGATTTTCAAAAGAGGACTCTTAAATCCTTGAAGAACTCTGCAATTCTTTAATAAAATTCCCAATAAATAAATAAGTGGAGATACGGTACAGAACAAATTTAATCACTAAGTTTGGAGGGCATCTGTTGCCTCTTTACTGTTTGTTTTTTTTCTTGGCTCTATAACCATGGTTAAATGTGCATCCTTTAAAACAGGGGTCTCCAACCTTGGCAACTTTAAGCCTGGAGGACTTCAACTCCCAGAATTCTGGCAAAGCTGGCTGAGGAATTCTGGGAGTTGAAGTCCTCTAGGTTAAAAATTGCCAAGGCTGGAGACCAGGGGTGAAATCCAGCAGGTTCTGACAGGTTCTGGAGAACAGGTAGCGGAAATTTTGAGCAGTTCAGAGAATCGGCAAATACCACTTCTAACTGGCCCCAAAGTGGGGTGGGAATGGAGATTTTGCAGTATCCTTCCCCTGGAGTGGGGTGGGAATGGAGATTTTGCAGTATCCTTCCCTTGGAGTAGGGTGGGAATGGGGATTTTGCAATATCCTTCCCCCAGGAGTGGGGAGGGAATGGGGATTTTGCAGTATCCTTCCCCTGGAATGGGGTGAATGGGGATTTTGCAGCATCCTTTCCCTGGAGTGGGGTGGGAATGGGGATTTTGCAATATCCTTCCTCCAGGAGTGGGAAGGAAATGCGGATTTTGCAGTATCCTTCCCCTGGATTGGGGTTGGAACGGGAATTTTGCAATATCCTTCCCCCAGGAGTGGGAAGGGAATAGGGATTTTGCAGTATCCTTTCCCTGGAGTGGGATGGGAATGGAGATTTTGCAGTATCTTTCCACTGGAGTGGGGTGGGAATGGGGATTTTGCAATATCCTTCCTCCAGGAGTGGGAAGGAAATGCGGATTTTGCAGTATCCTTCCCCTGGATTGGGGTTGGAACGGGAATTTTGCAATATCCTTCCCCCAGGAGTGGGAAGGGAATAGGGATTTTGCAGTATCCTTTCCCTGGAGTGGGGAGGGAATAGGGATTTTGCAGTATCCTTTCCTTGGAGTGGGGTGGGAATGGAGATTTTGCAGTATCCTTCCCCTGGAGTGGTGTGGGAATGGGGATTTTGCAGTATTCTTCCCCCTGGAATAGGGTGGGAATGGAGATTTTGCAGGATCCTTCCCCTGCAGTGGGGTGGGAATGGAGATTTTGCCACGCCACGCCCACCAAGTCACGCCCACAGAACTGGTAGTAAAAAAAAAATAATTTTCACCACTGTTGGAGATCCCTGCTTGTACATATGTTGTGCAGTGACAATAAAGGTTATTATTATTATCAACACTATCTAAATTTGAACTCAACAGATACATCTGGCTTGGCTTTTAAGTCCTTACCTCAGCTTCCTTCTGCTGAAGGATTCTGTCTTTGTCCATGACTTCTTCTTCCGCAGGCCTGTGAAATATAAGATGGACCAGAGAATTAGAGGCAAAAAACGGGCCTTATCTCAGTTGGAACAGAGTTGGAGGCTTTTATTGTAGACTTTTTCCCTCCCTGTAAAAAACTGGCAGGGAAAGCCAAATTCAACATCTTTACTTTACTTTTTTACTTTATTTTGGATTTATATATACCGCCCTACTCCCAAAGGACTCAGGGCGGTGAACAGCCAACAGGATAAAACACACATAATACAAAATTTAAAAAAACAATGTAAAAGCACATTAAATAATTTGGCCCATACAAATTAAAACACCCCTATTGTTTTAAAACAAATTTAAAATTAACAATTAAAAGGAAGTTAGGCCAGGCCAGCCTGTTGAAATAAAAAGGTCTTGAGGGCCCGGCGGAAAGTACGTAAATCCGGGATCCTCCGTATCTCCGGGGGGAGCTCGTTCCAAATGGCAGGTGCCCCCACAGAGAAGACTCTCCCCCTGGGGGCCGCCAGTCGACGGTACCCTGAGGAGCCCCTCTCTATGGGAGCGTACTGGTCGGTGGGAGGCTACTGGTGGCAGAAGGCGGTCTTGTAAGTACATCAAGAGAACTACTGAAAACTACTGGACATTGAAAGTAGCCAACCTAGAGGAAATGGCGAAAATTTCAGCGTACTTGAAGGACTATACACAAGAAAGATACGTATCGGAATGGAGAAGATGGATTGATTATATTCAAAATAAGTATCAGACAAGAAAATATCAAATAGCCTTGGTAGTACAGTGGTCTAAAGCACCCTGTTATTAACACAGCTGCCTGCAATTACTGCAGGTTCGAATCTTATCAGGCTCAAGGTTGACTCAGCCTTCCATCCTTTCTAAGGTAGGTGAAATGAGGACCCAGTTTGTGGGGGCAATAAGCTGACTGTATAAATATATACAAAAGTATGAAGGCTATTGCTTAACGCATTGTAAGCCGCCCTGAGTCTCCGGAGAAGGGCGGCATATAAATCAAATCAAATCAAATTAAATAAATAAATAAATAAATAAATAAATAGCTTATGAATGGATGTTAAATTTTAGAAGTATTATGTTATCTATAGTGGAGTTAAGGTTTCAGGGGGGGATTTGGTAGTTTAAGGATAGATAGGTTAATTTAGCTTATGATTGTTATTGAAATACCCTGTATTTTGCTCTGGGAAGTCTGGGGGGATGGGGGGAAGGGGTGGGGGGGAGGGAAAAAGGGTGGGGGGAATATTGGGGGAAAAATTCTTTTTTTGTAAAACTTTTCAATAATAATAAAAAAAAAGAGAACTACTGAAAATGCAAGATCCGTTTTTCTAGCCAAGTACGTGTGTACATCCGAACTAGACGGTGTTGTTTCTCTGTGTCATATATGTGGGCATATGCGTAATTTTGTATTTATTTCTTTAGTCAGTGTTTATGTAGTGTATATTGGAGGTGGTGACCCTTGGAGATCTGAATGGCAAGGTTAGAAAACTTTGTAAGAGAGATTCGAAGCTGCAGCCAACATAGGAAAGCAAACGAGACCCAAAGAAAGAACTTACTTGCCAGTCCTTTTTAATCTCTCCGACCGGAAATTTTCGTAATGCAAATCCTGGGTTACCTCCTGGAGGTCTTGCATGTGCGTCCTTAAAGGAGAAACACAATAGGGGCTGATCAGAATGGGATATTAAGCCAATGGCTTGTTTAAAAAAGGCTTCTGCAGCCTGGACAACTGTTAGCAACAAACAGGACAAAATCTTCAAGTGTAGCATGAAAATTGTCCAGTAGAGGGAACGCTTGGACCAGAATTTATTCTTTCCAAAAATGCAAAGTGGAATTAAGAATAAACAGCCAGGAATTGCTCGCTCTACCTCTCTGCCTCTCTCTCTCTCTCCATCCATCCATCCATCTCTATCTATCCATATCTATCAGTCTATCCATTCCTTTCTTTCTTTCCATCTATATCTATCATCCATATCTATATCTATATTTATATCTACCTACCCATCTATCCATATTTACCCATATCTATTTATCCATATCTATCTATCTATCTATCTATCTATCTATCTATCTATCTATCTATCTATCCATCTATCTATCCATCTATCTATCTATCCATCTATCTATCTATCCATCCATCCACCCATCATCTACCTACCTAAAGGTATATGGTTCCCCTCGTACATATGTGCTAGTCGTTCCCGACTCTAGGGGGCAGGTGTTCATCTCCATTTCAAAGCCGAAGAGCCAGCGCTGTTCGAAGACGTCTCCGTGGTCATGTGGCCGGCATGACTCTACGCCAAAGGGACACGGAACGCTCTTACCTTCCCACCAAAGGTGGTCCCTATTTTTCTACTTGCATTTTTTTTGCGTGCTTTCGAACTGCTAGGTTGGCAGAAGCTGGGACAAGTCAGGGGAGCTCACCCCGTTACATGGCACTAGGGATTCGAACCGCTGAACTGCCGACCTTTCGATCAATAAGCTCAATGTCTTAGCCACTGAGCAACCCTCTACCTACCTATATACATGCATAGATATAAATCCCTATCTATCTATCCATCCATGCATCCCCCCATCATCTATCTACCTATATACATCCCTACCTTACCTACCTATCTATCTATCTACCTACCTACCTGCTATCTATCTATCTATCTATCTATCTATCTATCTATCTATCTATCTATATCATCTAGTATCTATCTATCATCTATCTATCTATCTATCTATCTATCTATCTATCTATCATCTATCATCTATAGCTTATCATCCATCTCTATCATCCGTCCGTCTGTCCATCTAGTATCTCATCTCTTATGTGTTTTATCTATCTTATCTGTCATCCCTGTCTGCCTGTCCATCTGTCTATCCATCCCTCCATCCATTCAACCATCCATCCCTATTTATCCATTCCCCCCCCCCTCTCTCTCATTCTCTCTCGAGTGAGATCCGTGAGATTTTGCTAGCTGATATAATCCACAGGGCTTGTCTACAGACAGAGGCCAAAGAAGGCACAGGACTTACACTAACATCGTGCGTAACTTGAGGAAATCGTTGTGTTCGGGGTTCTCTACTTCCACCACACCCCAGGGGTAGAGGCGGCCTCGGATCTTTTTCCCCTTCACTTCGATCAGCTGGTTGGACCCGATGACAGCAAAAGGAACACTGGCCTGGGTGAGTCAAGAGCAGGAAGAAAATCCATGTCACACACCAAATCGGAAAGCTGAGAGAGACCATCGATGATCCTATTGACGTTATTATTCTCGTTGTGTTCCTTCGTCTTTTATTGTGCTGTTGTTTTACTTCTGTTGCATTTACACTCCTTTCCTTTTCTTCCTTTGTTTCACAGCTAGTCCTCAACTTACAAGCATTCGCTCAGCGACCGTTCAAAGTTACAACGGCACAGGAAAAAAAGTGATTTAGGACCATTTTTTCACACTTAACGACCGTTGCAGCATCTCCGCATTTCGCATGATCAAAATTCGGACACTTGGCAACCGACTCGTATTTATGACGGGTTGCGGCATCCCGGTGGCAAGAAAAGGTCATAAAATGGGGCAAAACTCAACTTAGCCACTGTCTTGCTTAGCCACAGAAATGCCAGGCTGCATTCTGATCATATGTCGAGGATTTTCCTATATTGGAAGCTATTTAGAGTAGCCCCATGGCGAGATAAGCAGCAAATAAATTTGACAAATAAATAATAAAATACATAAATACACAGGCTGAAAGCTGGCAGATTTAGAAGCCATTGTCGCAGGTTTGAAAACCCACAACTCATACTTCCAAAAGCCCATGATTTGACCCCCCCACAAACAACAAAAAATTTGCTCCCCCTTCAGAAATGCATCCTTTCCTTTTGGGGAAAAGCATCCAGGAACTAACGTTCTTAAGATGCAGATTTTCTAGAAAGAATCCAAGGGCGTAAACACTGAAAGGTTAATTCATTAAGCAACTTTTCTAAATTTCTTAATTCGACCCCATAATCCCTTGCGGGGTGGAGTCTGAACTGAATGGAGTTGAGTGTTTACTGGCCGGATGCCCTTCCTGTCGCCAGTGCGGAGTTTTGTTTGGCAGATATATTCTCATTGTGCCCAGAGAGAGAAATATCTGCCTCTACCTAGGATTGAACTCACAGCCTCCCGATTGTGAGGGGAGAGCTCCACCTCTAGGCCACCACACCACTCCCTTTCTAAGTTACCATGGCGTTGGGAGGAGAAAAAAAAAAGGGGGGGAATTTATGACTGGTGTCTATGGAGATTCTCAGTCATCCAGGTCATAGTTGTCCCAAAAGTGCTTTTTTCCCCGAATGCCATCATCCTGCTAAACAAGTAATTCCCTCAACACTGTCAAACTATTTACTAAGTCTGCACTGCTATTAATCTTCTCATTGTTCCCACCACCCATCTCCTTCCACTTAGGACTGTATGACTGTAATTTTGTTGCTTGTATCATTTGTACCCTATGACTATCATTAAGTGTTGTACCTTATGATTCTTGACGAATGCATCTTTTCCTTTATGTATGCTGAGAGCATATGCACCAAGAAAAATTCCTTGTGTGTCCAATCACACTTGGCCAATAAAGAATTCTATTCTATTCTATTCTATTCTATTCTATTCTATTCTATTCTATTCTATTCTATTCTATTCTATTCTATTCTATTCTATTCTATTCTATTCTATTCTATTCTATTTTTTTCAAGAGGCAACTGGACTTAATCTTGTTTTCAAGGTCTTCGCAGAAAAACAAGAAAGTCCAGTTGCCTCTTGAAAAAAAGCACCTTGGGGACTTACAACTGGTTCTCGCTTCTGCGCAGCGTTCCAACTTTCAACTCTTGTTTAAACGAAGGGTCGTAAGTCAAGGACTGTCGGCAATGACACGGTTGCATCGACTCACCTTCAGGACCCTCGTCTGTTCTTTGAACTCTTCGTCCTCGTCGGAGTCGGCATCGGGCAGCTGGTAAATCCGGATGCCGTGCTCAGATATTTCGTCTAACACCTGCCAATGTCGAAAGGAAAGGACAGGAAAAGAAAGGAAAGGAAGGGAAGGGAAGGGAAGGGAAGGGAAGAAAGAGACATACAGACAGGACAGGACAGGACAGGACAGGACAGGACAGGACAGGACAGGAGGGAAGGGAAGGGAAGGGAAGGAAGGGAAGGGAGGGAAGGGAAGGGAAAGGAAGGGAAGGGAGAAAAGACAGGACAGGACAGGACAGGACAGGACAGGACAGGACAGGACAGGACAGGAAAGGAAAGGAAAGGAAAGGAAAGGAAAGGAAAGAAAAGGAAAGGAAAGGAAAGGAAAGGAAAGGAAAGGAAGCAAAATAGGAGGAAAGGGGAGGGGAGGGGAGGGAAAGGAAGGGAAGGGAAGGGAAGGGAAGGGAAGGGAGAAGAGAAAGGGGGAAAGGAAGGAAAAGGAAAGGAAAGGAGAGAGAAAAAAAGAAAAGAAAAGAAAAGAAAAGAAAAGAAAAGAAAGAAAGAAAGAAAGAAAGAAAGAAAGAAAGAAAGAAAGAAAGAAAGAAAGAAAGAAAGAAAGAAAGAAAGAAAGAAAAGAGAGCCATCATTTTCCATTCTATACAAAGTGTCCTCAGCCTTTAATTGTATTTGCACAATGGCTGCTTGAGTTTCTGCCCTATTTAGAATTTAGAATAACAGAGTTGGAAGGGACCTTGGAGGCCTTCTAGTCCAAACCCGTTCAGGCAGGAAACCCTGAAATACCATTTCAGACAAATGGTTATCCAATCTCTTCTTTCAAACTTCCAGAGCTGGAGCATTTATAACTTCTGGAGGCAAGTTGTTCCCCTGATTAATTGTTCTAACTGTCAGGAAATTTCAAACCTTAAAGTCAAACCACAAGTCCTTCTTAATTTCCCATCACTGTACGGTTTCCAGATTCATTTGCCCGGGATTTCATAACGAGACTATCCCCACTCCAAATGGGATCATTGTCTCCACTCAAGCTTTACCCATTCTCTTAGAGGAAAATATAACTCTCCGCAAAATAATAATAATAATAATTTTATTTCTATACCGCCCTTCTCCCAAAGGACTCAGGGCGGTGTACAGCCTATTTAAAAACACAAGACAAAACAGCAATTAAAATTTAAAATTATTAAATAGATTTGGCTCAATTTAAAACCCCACTAATTTAAAATACCCCAATTTAAAATTATTATGTTGATAGCTCAGCCTGGCAGAACAACAAGGTTTTGAGGGCACAGCGAAATACACGGAGATCAGAGATCTTACGTATTTCCGGGGGCAGTTCATTCCACAGGGCTGGGGCTCCCACAGAGAAGGCCCTCCCCCTGGGTGTCGCCAGCCAACATAACTTGGCCGATGGCACCCGGAGGAGACCCTCTCTGTGGGAGCGGACTGGTCGGTGGGAGGCTATTTGTGGCAGAAGACGGTCTCGAAGGTACCCGGGTCCTATGCCATGGAGTGCTTTAAAGGTGGTAACCAGCACCTTGAATCGCACCCGGAAGACCACTGGGAGCCAATGCAGCTCGCGCAGGAGGGGTGTCACGCGGGCACAATGAGTTGCGCCCATAACCACCCGCGCGGACGCATTCTGGACTAGTTGGAGCCTCCGAGTGCTCTTCAAGGGGAGCCCCATGTAGAGAGCATTACAATAGTCCAGCCGGGAGGTAACAAGGGCGTGAGTGACTGTGTGCAGGGCGTCCCGGTCCAGAAAGGGCTGCAACTCGCAAATCAGGCGAACCTGATAAAAGGCCCCCCTGCCCCCCCCTTGAATAAAGATCAACAGAACAGAACATCCAGACCTAATCCATCCAAACAAACGTACACAACATTTTTGCCAATCTGGCAGGCTATTTTCCAAAGGCGGGACTTAAAAGAATTAGCAAACGGCACACAGTAGTTTTAATCATAGGTTGCAAGAGACAAAGACCCTCCCAGGAACAGCCTAATATGACGGGACAGGCCAACATCGGTTTGCTGTTTGTCAATGATGGGGATTAAGAAAGCCCAGTTTCTCCGGGCAGAGATCTTGGCGATAAACTGTAAAACCGAAACAATGGCGGGAAAACCAGCAAGGGTGCCCGAATAATATATCGCAGCTGTTCAGCCGAGTGCTTTCCTGAAAGGAAAAAAGAAAAAAAAAAGAAAAAAAAAGAAAAAAAAAGAAAGGAAGAATCGCAAGGAAAACAAACTGCATTTCATACTCCCCAACAATAAAACTGCATTTTGTTTCTTCAGACCTCGGTTTAATGGGTCCCTAGAGGCTCCGTGCGTCTTAAAGATTAGGCTTCCCAGGAAAAAAAGAAAAGAAAAAGAAAAAGAAGTCAAAATGTAAAGTTTCCCTTCACACAGAATAATTCTTTTTTTTTGAACTTCCTCAAAAAAAAAACGCCACTGTGTGACTTGTGAATCGGGTATGCATTGCTTCCCACTCGAGAGGCTCAATTTTTTTATTTTTTTAAAGAAAAAGGGAAGAAAATGAAGATTCGATTCCGCGAAGTCAAAACAGGAATTCCTTCAGGATGGGTTTCCTTAACAGAAAGACCCACCATTCAGGTTTCTGCTTATTCAAATATTTAAAAAAAAAAAAAAAACAGAAAGGGGTGGGGGAAAGAAAAAAACCCCTAATCCTTACTTTAGATGGATTGCCAAATGGCAGAAACATCTAAAATAAAATAAAAAAAGCCAACCCAAAAACCTTCGAAGCTGTGCCAAGAAAGGCAAATTTTGATCCCCTGCTTTGATTAGAGATTTTGCACTAAAGAGATGTTTGCAGGAAGAAAAATATACAGTAGCTGAAATTTCAAAGCTTTGGATCAACATGAAACATTCTGCTTTATAAAGCCAGTTTGTAGGGGGAATTTTATTTTATTTTTTTTAAAAAAAAGGCTGATTCAAATGGACCAAAATTCAAACAATGGTTTAGATGTTTATTTGCCCTTTTGCTGCTCTATATAGGGCCAAGGCTTTTGTTAAACTATCCGTGAACATTTAATGCAAAAATAAGCACCGAAGGATTTACAAGCTGGTAACGCCGAGGCGAAAGGAGGTGAAACTAACTGAGCAACTGTGGGTTTTCTGGAGGGCAAGATGCTCAAAGAAAAGAGTTTTAAAACTCTCCATTTCTTTAAATGTAAAGAAGACGACTTAATTCAGTGTTTTTCTTTAACCTTAGCAACATTGTGCGGACTTCCACTCCCAGAATTCCCAAGCCAGTATGCTTTAAGATGAGTGGACTTCAACTCCCAGAATTCCCCAGTCAGCGTGCTGTAAAATGGGTGGACTTCAAATTCCAGAATTCCCCAGCCAGCATGCTTTAAGATGGATGGAATTCAACTCCCAAAATTCCCCAACCAGCATGCTTTAACATGAGTGAATTTCAACTCCCAGAATCCCCTAGTCAGCGTGCTTTAAGATGGGTGGATTTCAACTCCCAGAATTCCCTAGTCAGTGTAGTTTAAGATGGGCGGACTTCAACTTCCAGAATTCCCCAGAAAAACTGACACATTACCCTTCTCTTCAGTCTCTCCCTTTCCTTCAAAGTTAAAGTGTCTGCCTTCGCTATGACAGGAACAATATTCACTTTTCCATGAATTGCCTTCATGAATTCCACATCCAAAGGTTTCAGTCTGGAAAATAATGAATTAAAAAAAAAAAAAAAGTTTTACAACAACAAAATGCACCGGTTGCTTTCACGTAACATCAAGCCAGGATCTATTTATGGATTGTCCGAAATGCCACACTGCCTGGATCACATATATTTAGGAAACCTAATCGACAGGGGTGGGATTGAAAAATTTCAGCAACCGGTTCATTGCCCGTTGGTGGGTGGGCGTGGCCATGGGGGCGTGGCCTACTCAGCCTCCTGCACCATGGGTGGGGGGGTGTTTTCACCCTCCCCAGGCTCCGGAGGCTTTCCTGGAGTCTCCAGGAGGGATACTGCAAAATCCCCATTCCCTCCCCACTCCAGGGGAAGGATACTGCAAAATCCCCATTCCCTCCCCACTCCAGGGGAAGGATACTGAAAAATCCCCATTCCCTCCCCACTCCAGGAGAAGGATACTGAAAAATCAGCACTTCAACGGGAAGGGGTCCTGCAAAATTTAAAACTCCACTAAGGCATTTCTTGACGAACTCAGGAAAGTTCCGTTTTATATCGATAAATATATAATTTTTATAACTCTATAAAATGTCTGTAACTGTCTTGTTTGGCTCTGCAACCGAACAAGACAGACACAGACTTCAGAGGATAATTAGAACGGCAGAAAAAACAATGGCTACCAACCTGCCTTCCATTGAGGACCTGTATACTGCACGAGTCAAAAAGAGGGCTGTGAAAATATCTACAGACCCCTCGCATCCTGGACATCAACTGTTTCAACTCCTACCCTCAAAACGACGCTATAGAGCACTGCACACCAGAACAACTAGACACAAGGACAGTTTTTTCCCCGAACGCCATCACTCTGCTCAACAAATAATTCCCTCAACACTGTCAAACTATTTACTAAGTCTGCACTACTATTAATCTTCTCATCTTCTCATCGTTCCCATCACCCATCTCCTCCTACTTATGACTGTATGACTGTAACCTTATTGCTGGTATCCCTACAATTTATATTGTTATAAATTATATTGTTTTCTAATATGATTTGATTGCTTATTTGTTCCCTATGACTATCATTAAGTGTCGTACCTGATGATTCTTAACGAATGTATCTTGTCTTTTTATGTACACTGAGAGCATATGCACCAAAGACAAATCCTTTGTGTGTCCAATCACACTTATTTATTTATTTATTTATTATTCGAATTTCTATACCGCCCTTCTCCTTTCGGACTCAGGGCAGTGAACAGCCAAAATAAAAACATTTATACATAAATACGATTAAAAATAGATTTAAAATAATTAAATTTGGCCCATAGTTTAAAATTTATCAATTTAAAATCCATATCAAAAGAATGGCCAAGAAAGAATTCTATTCTATTCTATTGTACAAAAACTCAACGTGCTTTAAAAGCCTGGGCTGTATAAAGTGATTTAATTTCCCGTATTAAGGAATGGGTGGTTGCATATTCTTGCTCGTCATCAATTTTAGGACGTACCCCTGGGAAGTTTCTGCATAAATCCCTTCTGAAACAGAGGCAAAACCAAGATGGGAAAAAAAAATACATCCAAAGAGGATTTTAATTGAATTGGCTAACAATACGAAAAGCGGCGATTAAGGCCTTCTTGCAAAAAGTTATTCAGAGTGGCTTAGGCGTGAAACTTTTATCCTGGGACATTAAAAAAAAACCCCAAAACCATCTTAATACTTACCCGTGTCCAAAAGGAGAAATGAAATAAAAACAGCAATGCACCCGATTGTCTACAATATGGCGCCGATTCAAGCCACTCTCATCGTGAAGGTATCGTTCAAACTGATTGTCGATATAATGGATGATGGTTTTGAAACTGGGCCAAGGAGAGAGAGAGAGAGAGAGAGAGAAGACACAATTTTTACAAGGCTGTTACTTTGGGTGTACTTCTAGTCCGAACTACCTCTCATAAGATGACACGTAAGGCAATTGTGGTGACGTGTGGTAAACCACAAGCCGCCGTGGACTCTCTGCGAGTGAAATATAACCACAGACTGCTAACTGCTTTGAAGTTTAATTTGGCTGTTGGTTTTATCCAGGGGTGGGATTGAAAAATTTTAGCAACCAGTTCTCTACCCGGTTGCTGGGTAGGAGTGGCCATGGGGGTGTGGCCTACTCGGCTTCCTGCACCATGGCGAGGAGGGACGTTTTCACCAGGGGTGAAATGCTCCCGGTTCGGACCGGATCGCCCGTTCCGGTAGCGATGGCGGCGGGTGGTTCGGAGAACCGGTAGCAAAAATCCCTGCCCCCCCCATGCCCAGCTGAGCCGCACAATCATCAGAGGTTTTTCTTTTTACTTTTAAAAGCATTTTTTCTACAACCTCTTCGGCCGAAAAAATGCTTTTAAAAATTAAAAAAAACAAAAAAAAGCTTCTGATGATTGCGCGGCTCAGCTGGGATCGTCAGAGCCTTTTAAAAGCATTTTTTTCTGTAACCTCTTCGGCTGAAGAGTAGAAAAAAATGCTTTTAAAAGTAAAAAAAAAAAGTGGCCACGCCTACCCAGTCACATTAAACCCCCACACCAAGCCACACCCACAGAACCGGTAGTAACAAATTTTACATTTCACCAATGGTTTTCACCCTCCCCAGGCTCCAGAGGCTTTTCTTCAGCCTCCAGGAGGGCAAAAACGGCCTCCCATGGGCTCCAGAAGCCCTCCAGAGGCCGGAAACGGACCCGTTTCCAGACTTCCGGTCCTTCCAGGAGGCCTGATTTTCAACTTCCCAGAGCTTCCACATGGATGCTGCACTTACCTGGCACCTAAAATGGGCCGCATGGAGACTCTTGGGAGGGGACGGGAGGGGTGAGCGGGACCAGTCAGTCCTTGCAACTACCGGTTCGGCGAATCAGATGTAAAATTAGCATCCGGTTTTCCCGAACCGGTCTGAACCGGTCCGAACTGGCTGAATTCCACCCCTGGTTTTACCAGTTAACTTATGTTTCCATATAGTAGATAGCTGCCAGGCTAAGTGGGTTGGGTAAACAGTGTTGTAGAAATGTGTGCCTGCTTTAGAAGGGGAGAGGAGGTATTATCTTCAAAATATATTGATCAGTATTCAAACGGGGGATAATTGATGTATATATTGGTTGTTGTTTTTTAAATGCATTTTTTTGTGTGTAGGCTTATCTAGCTTTTTGCTTTTGTGTTGCTTTTTCTTCTTTCCCCCTTTTTTTGGGGGGGGAGTTTGCATTTTCATGTTTTGAAATAAAATAAAATTTGGATACAAAAGAAAATCAAAGCTGACACACAGATGACCAGTTTTGTTTAAGAGCTTCTCTTGCGCTCCGAAATTCGGGGGAAAAGTAATTTTCAAGGAATCGTCCATTGTTCCTCTTAAACGGTACCTGGCTTTGTGACTGGGGGAAGCACCTGTCTTTAAATGAGACACCAGCCTTCATGAGATGAGGCCATATCCTGTTCTCTGCATTACAACAGCGAAGGGAGCCGAGTTTCGTTTTTTTACTTGGGGGAAAAAAATCGGCACGCATCTAACATCAGGGAGATAGATCAACTCTTCCGCACCAAAGGAAATTCGGGGAACACATTCATGCTCAAAACCGCTTTGCAAGAGAGAGATTTTTATGAATGTGCAATTCATCCTGAACGAATGATGGCAATTACAGTCTGTCTGTCAGCGTTCCAAGTAACCCATAGAAAACAAACGCCAAGGCACTCGAGTGCCTCAAAGAACAGTTTATTGGATACATCATATTGGCACAAACCGGTGAAAGCCGACTCTGAGGTTTCCCGCGGCTTTCACCTAATTAAAAGTAAAACTTTTCCCTTTTCCCCCCAAGTCACTGGTCACGGTGTCCAATCCAGGTGCTGGCTCGTTGCTGGGTTACCGGCTCCTCCTCTGGCCAGCCACCTGTGAGAATGACCTTGGTTCCCACAGGAAAACGTTATTGTTTTGGCTACAAAACCCCATCTAACTATTTCCCCGCTCCCTCTGTTGTGTGCAACCCGGAAGCCTCCAAGATGGCTTCAGCCGGGCTCAACTCCAGGATCCCAGTGATCATGTGATCAAAATTCAGGCCAGCTTGGCAATTGACTCGTATTTATGGCGGGTTGCAGTATTCCGGGGTCACGTGACCCCCTTTTGCGACCCTCTGACAAGCAAAAGTCAATGGGGAAACCAGATTCGCTTAACCACCATACTACCAACAACAGCAGTGATTCACTTAACGACTGTGGCAAGGGAGGTCGTAAAATGGGGCAAAATTCATTTAACAACGGTCTCACTTAACAACAGAAATTTGGGGGCTCAGTTGCGGTCATAAATCGAGGACTACTGATATACGTATCCCAGGATAATAATGTTGCACGATCCAATCAAGGTCGGTCACTGGGACTGGAGTTTTATTTTTCCAAATTTTTGGATTCACGCTGGAGCCCATTCCTCACGACACATTCCGGTGGGGGAGAGAAGCTCCCTGAGGATGAGGCCCCAGCACGAGTCCTGAAAGTTTGAGAAGACCAAACTTTTGGTCCCGGCGACCAACCCAGATTGGGTCCTGCGTCATCCTCAATGCCGTGAGAAACCTTCCAAGGTGATGAATAGAAAAGAAACACCGCCTTCCTATTGGCTGGGGAGAGAAAGGGAAAAGGAAGACTCCAGCAGACAGGGAAATTATTTTTTTTTAAAAAATAAATGATTGTTCCTCTAAGCCTTTGAATTTCTCTGTAGCAAGTTCAACCGTGCGACGTTAACGGCAGGGCCTTAGAATGTCTGGTTGCTCCCACCCAATGTTTAGCGTCTCCCTCCCAGACACCCCCCCCAAAAAAAAGAAAAAGAAAAGAAAAGCAGAATTTTCAGATCTGCAGGACTTCAAGAAATCTTTCCAAAGAATAAACACAAGCAGCGGAATACAATCAACAGGAAATTCTTCTGGCCACACAATGGCCGAGGTCCAGCCATTCAGAGATTTGAAGGAAAGGGTCAAGCGAGATTTACTGGCAACGAGAAGGCGACGTCATTGGAAGGATGGGCAGAGCGGAGAATGGCACAAGGTGTTCTGGCCCGCCAGCAGAGCTGGCAGCAGATTCGTACAGTGAGGAGGTGGGGGAGGAACATGGACCAGCCCTGGAGTCTGGGGAAGGCTCTGATGAGGGCTCTGCGTCAGAGGCAGAGAGGGGGCCAGGGCCGTCTGACAGTTATCAGCTGCCTTCGGAGTTGGACATCAGTGAGGCAGACAAACAGCTGGAGCCTGTTCCTAGTGTGTGCATGCGCAGAGTTGCCAGACGAAGGGAACAGCTAAAGAACAAGGGTCAACTCAGGAGTAAAGCCACAGGTGGACAGTGAAGGGCCCCTCCCGGAGGGAATAAAAGAGGAGCGAAAGGGGAGTGGAGTTTTCAGGAGACAATTAGTCTATTCCTGCATCCTTGCCAAATATATATATATATTTTTAATTTGATTTATATGCCGCCCTTCTCCGGAGACTCAGGGAGGCTTACAATGCATTAAGCAATAGCCTTCATACTTTTGTATATTTATACAAAGTCAGCTTATTGCCCCCACAAACTGGGTCCTCATTTCACCTACCTTAGAAAGGATGGAAGGCTGAGTCAACCTTGAGCCTTGGAGAGATTCGAACCAGCAGTAAATTGCAGGCAGCTGGTTTTAATAACAGGGTGCTTTAAACCACTGTACTATCAAGGCTCTTAAATATTGCGGGCATCTGAAAGATATCAGCCTGGCCACTCTCCAAGCCTGATCAAGGTCGGTAATTGTGAACTATCTTGAAAGACTGTGGGAAGAGGAAAGACTTTGCTGGAGATTAATTCACTGTCAATTAAATAAAAGGGGTTTGTCAGGGTGAGGACTCGGCTTCATGGAAGCCTAGGTCAGAACACAAGGAAGCCCAGATATCGGTCAATTTTATTTTATTTTATTTTACTTTGAAAACCAGAGCAACACCTACCAGTTTTGGCTGTTGATGGCATCTCCGTAGCCGGGAGTATCCACCACCGTCAAACGCAGCTTGACCCCTCGCTCTTCGATTTCGACGGTCGAAGCTTCGATCTGAACTGTCCTTTCGATCTTTTCTGAGAGAGAGAGGAAATGTTAAAAAACTCCTCCCGAAGTCCAGTTGCCTTTTGAAAAAAGCACCTTTGGGACAACCGTGACCCCGGAGGATTGAGAATCTCCATCGAGGTTAAAACCCCAGAATTCCCAGAGTTCTGGATGTTAGAATTCGTTAGAATTCTGGGGTGGGGTGGGGGTGGGGGATTTTAAAAAGGGCCACACACACATCTAGAAGTGGCCGAGGTTGGGAAACCCGGTTGGAAAAGGCTACGGAAAGGGACTTGGGACCTCAGCAAGGTTGAGGGTTGGCCCTTTCAACTTAAAGGAAGGAAGGTGAAACTGGAATCATGTGAAATCATTTAGAAAGGGTTGGACTAGAAGACTAGAAGAAGAGTCCCTTCCAACTATGCTGTTCTGTTGTTCTGTTCTGTTCTGTCTGTTTCTTCATTCCATTATTCTATTCTACTCTAATTCTACTCTACTCTATTCTATTCTATTTTACTCTACTCTACTCTAATTCTATTCTATTCTATTCTATTCTATTCTATTCTATTCTATTCTATTCTATTCTATTCTATTCTATTCTATTCTATTCTATTTATTCTATTCTATTCTACTCTATTCCATTCCATTCCATTCCATTCCATTCCATTCCATTCTATTCTATTCTACTCTAATTCTACTCTACTCTATTCTATTTTACTCTACTCTACTCTAATTCTATTCTATTCTATTCTATTTATTCTATTCTATTCTATTCTATTCTATTCTATTCTATTTATTCTATTCTATTCTATTCTACTCTATTCCATTCCATTCCATTCTATTCTATTCTACTCTAATTCTACTCTACTCTACTCTATTCTATTCTATTTTACTCTACTCTAATTCTATTCTATTCTATTCTATTCTATTCTATTCTATTCTATTCTATTTCTATTTCTATTTCTATTATTTCTTCATTCCATTATTCTATTCTATTCTATTTCTATTATTTCTAATTCTATTCTATCTTCTGTTCTATTCTATTCTCTTCCTATTCCTATTCCATTCCATTCTGTTCTATTCTATTTTCGGCACCGAGTGCCCAAACCAAAACGTGCGTGTATGCATGTGCACACGCCGGAAAACCAAAGTCCAGCTGACTGGCGCACGCATGCCTATTTTGGGGCATTTGGGGGCCGTTTTCAGGCCGCTTTTCGGGCTGTTTTCAGACCGTTTTTTGGGCATGTTTCCGTGCCTGTTTTTCAGCTGTTTTTCGGGCCGTTTTCCGGACCTCTGGCACCCATGAAGACCAGCTGGCCGGTGCGCCGGAAATCAGAAAAGCAGCTGGCAATGGTGCACATGCCCAAAGAGAGGGCTCTGCATGTCACTTCTGGCATGCGTACCATAGGTTCGCCATCACGGCTCTCCTCTCCTCCCCTCCCCTCCTCCCTCCCTCTCCTCTCTCCTTCCCCTCCCCTCTCTCCTTCCCTCCGTTCCTCCTCCTTTCCTTCCTTCCTTCCTTCCCCTCTCCTTCTCTTTACTTCCTTCTTCCTTCTCTCCTCCTTTCTCTCTCTCTCTCGTCTCCTCTCTTCTTTCTCTCCTCTCTCCTTTCTCCCCTCTCCTCTCCCTCCTTCCCTCCCTTTCTCCTCCCCTTCCTTCCTCTTTCTTTCATTCTTTCCTTCCTTCCTTCTCCTCTCCTTCTCTCTTTACTTCCTTCTTTCTTCTCTCCTCCTCTTTCTCTCTCTTTCTCCTATCTCCTCTCTTCTCTCCTCTCTTCTTTCTCCCCTCTCCCTCTCCCTCCTTCCCTCCCTTCTTCCTCCCCTTCCTACCTCCCTTCTTTCCTTCCTTCTCCTCTCTTTCTCTCTTTACTTCCTTCTTCCTTCTCTCCTCTTTCTCTCTCTCTCCTCTCCTCTCCTACTTCTGTTCTGTTCTATAACCTCTTCTACTCTACTCTACTCTACTCTACTCTACTCTACTCTACTCTACTCTACTCTACTCTACTCTACTCTACTCCATTCCATTCCATTCCATTCCGTTCTGTTCTATTCTTGTTTCTCAATCTTGGCAATTTTAAGAAGTGAGGCCTTCAACTCCCAGAATTCCCCAGTCACATATGTCTGGCTCTAGGAGATAAAGCCCAGGCATCTTTAAAATTGCTGAGATGGAGAAACTCCGATTTAGAAAAGAAAAAAAAAAAACCCGAAATTACCTCCAGCTCCAGGGATGTAACGTTCAGGATACAGATCCGTCAGGAATAAACTGTTGATTAAAGTGGATTTGCCCAAACCAGACTCTCCTGTAAACAAGAGGGGATAATCTTTTTACCGTTCCATGTAACAGGCAGATTTGTCAAATGATCAAATTTCCCCTTTTTTCCCCTTGTTTTACAAGACAGCATTATCAAAAGGTCTTACTATATTAGTCTTTTAAAAGTAACCTAGAAATGCAGGCTTTTGTTCACGTTTTAAATCTGGTCAACTGATTTCTAGGAAATACAGGTAGTCCTCGACTTATGACCGCAACTGAGCCCAGAATTTCTGTTGCTAAGTGAGACATTTATGAAATGAGTTTGGCCCCATTTTACAGCCTTTCTTTGCCACTGCTGTTAAGTGAATCCCTGCAGTTGTTAAGTTAGCCACATGGTTGTTAAGTGAATCTGGCTTCCCTATTGACCTATTGCTGGTCAGGATGCTGCAACGGTCATAAACACGAACCCGTTGCCAAGCGTCTGATTTTGATCACTGACTTTTGGGATGTCGCAACCATTTGATAAGTATGAAAAGTATTCAAAAGTCACTTTTTTCCAATGCCGTTGTTAACGGCACTAAATGAACTGTTGTAAGTCAAGGACTGCTTGTGCCACAATTATTTCAATCACCTAATGTCACTTCTTATCCCTCTAATGCAGAGATGGCTAACCTTTTTGCCGTCATGTGCCAAAAGCAGGGGAGCGTGGGGGGGTTTGCGCGTATACGTGCCCACACCCATAATTCAATGCACCCCGCTCCCCCGTGCATGCACGCAACACCCTTCCCCCGCGTTCCCCACGCTTTTGGCGCGGTGGGCCCAGTAGGCCTGTTTTTCACCCTCCCCAGGCGCCAGAGGCTTTCTAGGAGCCTAGGGAGGGCGAAAACAGCCTCCCCTCCCCCGGAAGCCCTCTGGAGGCCGGCAACAGCCCATTTCCCAACTTCCAGTAGGCCCGAAAATCATCTGAGCTGAGTTAGGGTAACACTCGCGTGCCCACAGATATGGCTCCGTGTGCCACCTGTGGCACGCGTGCCATAAGTTCGCCATCACGGCTCTAATGCATCATGTGAAAAACTTCATATGGGAGCCTAAGATAGCTGCAACCCGAGGAAGAGTGAAGTCCAGGGGTGGGTTCTAATTTTTTTTACTACCGGTTCTGTGGGCGTGGCTTATTTTGTGGGCGTGGCTTGATGGTCATGTGACAATTCTTTAGGATTTAGCAGAGGTACTGGTCTACCAGGCTTTAACTGCTTGCCGAGCTGTACCGATCTACCCATTTATTTTTTGCAGGCACTGATCTACCCATTTATTTTTGCAGGCACCGGTCTACTCATTTGTTTTCTTTTAACACTGATCAGCTGTAGAGCGGCCCTTTGAAGCACCAGGGCAAGAGTTTAAACAGTTTTTTTTCCCTCTAGCCATCAGCTGGGACTCAGGAGGCAGCAATAGATTGGGGGTGGGGCCAAATAAAAGGTAAGAATAACGCAGGGAGTGGGGGTGGGGGCGCGGGGCAGAACTGGTTCGGTGACGTCATATCGTCACCGCTACCGGCTCGGGAGAACCGGGCCGAACCCACCACTGGTGAAGTCAGAATCATACCCACCAAAGTCCCTTTTCTAACACCCCCCCCCTTCTTTCTAAACCCTGTGCCAAAAACAGGACTGTGAACTCAGTGGCTTCTTTTTGTCACATGGCTGTTTCGATGCACTGCTTCTGACCCAAAAAGATTTGAGTCATTTCTCTAAAACAGGAAGGAATGAGCAAAAGTAATGATGTCCCTCTTGGCACAGGCGCTCGCTCGCGTCTCCTTTGGACATTCTTGTGAAATTGACTCAGATTAGAACCATTTTTATATAAACTTCTGCGCTATCTGAAAAGCAGAAGCTGTTGAGAAACAGCTGGAAAACAGCCCAAAACAGAAGAGAACAGCTTCTCCACTGACCGAGAATTCTCTTTCTTCTTCTTCTTCATTTAGAAATAAAGGAAAAGTCAAATCTGTATGTATGGGGATCTGCTTTTCTTTTATTCTCCTAACAATCATCTTAGGGGGAGATCAATTTGATCCTGGATGCTAAGGACCACCTCAAAGTCACAAAGGGATTTATTTAATCCAGGTTACGAGTCCATAATAGCTACACCACACTGCTTCTCTGATAGTGTTGTGGTCCGCCAGCAGCCTGAGGAGCTGGCAGCAGAGTCGGACAGTGAGGAGGCTGGGGAGGACAATGGGCCAGTCCTGGAGTCTGGGGAAGGCCTGGACGAGGGCTCTGAGTCGAAGCAGAGATGGGCCAGGGCCATCTGGGAGCAATGCGCGGACTCCGGAGCCTCCAGAGGCGGATAGCAGAGAGGCAGAGGAACAGGAGGAGCCTGTTCCTAGTGCACACATGCGAAGAGCTGCCAGAAGGCAAGAGCAGCTAAAGCAAAGAGGACGACTCGGGAGTAAGGCCAAGAGATGATTGGCCCCTCCCAGAAGGCTTAAAAGAGCAGCAACGGCTCCTGGGATCTTTGTAGGAAAGCAACGTTACTACATTGGTTTCTTGTCAGCGTCTCTTGCTTATGAACCGTCATAACTATGGGTCAGTTACCAAGTGTCTAGATTTTGATCATGTGACCATGGGGATGCCCAACGGTCATAAGTGTGAAAAACAGCCATAGGTCACTTTTTTTCAGTGCCGTTGTAACTTTGGTCACTAAATGGACTATTGTAAGTTAAGGACTACCTGTATTCAATAGTTAAACTGCCACGGTTTAATTGTCAAACCTGCATGATCTGGAAAATCAAATCCACATACCGACAACCATGAGGGTGAATTCAAACCCTTTCTTGACTGACTTCCGGTGGACTTGGTTGGGGAGGTTGGCAAACCCCACATATCCAGCCGAGTCAGAAAACTGGAATGAGAAATCAAGAATGAAAGCAGCAAATTGGGAGGCGGAATTCATGAAATGCGCCAACATTGGAAAGTTGCAAGCTTGAGAGCAGTTTCTTCAAAGAGGATTAGAATTAGAATTAGAATTAGAATTAGAATTAGAATTAAAATTAAAATTAAAATTAAAATTAAAATTAAAATTAAAATTAAAATTAAAATTAAAATTAGAATAAGAATAGAATTAATAGAATACAATAGAATACAATAGAGGAATGAAGAATAGAATAGAACAGAATAGAATAGAATAGAATTAATAAGAATAGAATTAGAGTAGAGTAGAGTAGGGTAAGGTAGGGTAGGGTAGGGTAGGGTAGGGTAGGGTAGAATAGAATAGAATAGAATAGAATAGGTGGAGTGGAGTGGAATGGAATGGAATGGAATGGAATGGAATGGAATGGAATGGAATGGAATAGAATAGAATAGAATAGAATAGAATAGAATAGAATAGAATAGAATAGAATAGAATAGAATAGAATAGAATAGAATTAAGAAATTCTTTATTGGCCAAGTGTGATTGGACACAAAAGGAATTTGTCTTGGGTGCATAAGCTCTCAGTGATAAATCAATGATCATAGTCATCAGAAAAATACATTCATCGTAAATCATAAGATACAACACTTAGTGATAGAATCAACATCAATCGTACTAGGAAACTAAATAAAACAATCTAAATCGTAAAGATACAACCAACAAAATTATAATCATAAATAGAAAAAGTTATAGGAAGGATGAGAAGAAGAATAGTAATACAGCCTTAGTGAATAGTTTGACAGTGTTGAGGGAATTATTTGTTTAGCAGAGTGATGGCGTTCGGGAAAAAACTGTCCTTGTGTCTAGTTGTTCTGATGTGCAGTGCTCTATAGCCTCGTTTTGAGGGTAGGAGTTGAAACAATTTATGTCCAGGATGTGAGGGGTCTGTAGCAGTGGTGGGATTCAAATAATTTAACAATCGGTCCTCTGCCCTAATGACCGGCTGGGTGGGTGTGGCCATGGTGGGCGTGGCCAGGGAGTGTGACAGGCAGCACTCGGCCTCCTGCACCCCCCCTGGGAGTGAAAACAGGCTGCCGGGGGGGGCACCCCACACACCCTATTTTGGGCCTAGGAGAGCTCCCTGAAGACTCCTGGGAAGCGAAATCGGGCCATGGGGGGGACTGCTCCCCCCCAATGCCTCATTTTGGGCCTAGGAGGCCTCCCTGCACTTACCTGGGAGGCAAAATGGGGAGCGTGGGGACTCCTGGAAGGGGCAGGGCGGGAAGGGGCCAGCCAGCAATTTAACTACCGATTCACCCAAACTGGCTGAATCATTTTCACAGATATTTTCACATACAAGGACAACTAAGGAGAGCATGCTCAACCAAAGCCTTTAGACCAGTGTTCCTCAACCATGGGCGACTTCTTAAGAGGTGTGGACTTCATGTGTGGCTATGCTGGCTGAGGGATTCTGGGAGATGAAGTCTTACACCTCTTAAAATGGCCACGGTTGAGAAACACTCCGGACCGTTGTTACAACAGAAGTCATGTGATTCCCGTTCCTTTTCCTGTCTGATATGCAAGTGGGAAAGGATGAGGAACATGATTTATGAGAAGATCTCTTTGTAACAATTATACAAGGTCTCTGTGGACACTCATTGTAAGGAAGTAGGGGGTTAGTTTTACTTCCTCTCTTACTGCTGCTTCTTGAGAATTTGTTGTTGTTAGTTGCGAAGTCGTGTCCGACCCATCGCGACCCCATGGACAATGTTCCTCCAAGACTTCCTGTCCTCTACCATCCTCTGGAGTCCATTGAAGCTCACGCCGACTGCTTCAGTGACTCCATCCAGCCACCTCGTTCTCTGCCGTCCCCTTCTTCTTCTTTTGCCCTCCATCATTCCAGCATTAGGCTCTTCTCCAGGGAGTCCTTCCTTCTCATTAGGTGGCCCAAGGATTTGAGTTTCCTCTTCAGGATCTGGCCTTCTAAAGAGCAGTCAGGGTTGATCTCCTCTAGGACTGACCGGTTTGATCACCTTGCCATCCAAGGGACTCGTAGGCGTCTTCTCCAGCACCAGAGTTCAAAGGCCTCAGCTTTCTACTCAGATACAGATTAAGAGTTGGAAGGGACCTTGTAGGTCATCTAGTCCAACCCGCCACCCAAGCAGGAGACCCTAAACCATTTTTGACGGATGGCAGTCCAATAGCTTCTTGAAAGCTTCCAGAGATGAAGCTCCCACAACTTCTGAAGGCAACTTCTGTTCCATTGGTTAACTGTGAGGACAGTGTAAATTACTTTTTTCAGTCTCATTGTAACTTTGAATGGCCACTAAACGAATGGTTGTAAGTCAAGGACTATCCATGCATAATATAGGGGGCATCAGACAACCTTTGCTGCAAGGGGGCACAGTCACGAGAGTACCAAACCATTTTTTTTCTCCAATTATAGGAAGAGTTTAAATACCAAATGAGGGTCCAGAAAATGGCAGCCTTTTCCATTTTGTCGGTCCACAATTATGTTTATCCATCCCAAATGTTCTGTGTAGAAGCTTCTTCTTCTTCTTTTTTTAAAAAGCAAGCGCCTTCCAAATTCTGCCTAGAACTCCCAAGGTTCTCCAAGGAAATAAGGCATTTGGGAAAAAAGCTATTCCTGTGCGGCGATCAGTCGATGCTGTCCCCAAAAGAGCTTTTTTTGCAACCAAAACCCGCTTAAAAATCAAACTGGATTGGCTGCACAACAGCCACTGCCATCTACAACATGCTGCTGTTCTTACTCGTTCATTGCCAGATAACAAGTGGAGAAAACCAAGAAAAATCTTTGGTTAACTATCCTTTTGCTTGGAAACTCACAATGAGAAATTAGGATGAAAGTGTTGGGCTGTGGGAGAAGGGGAAACACGGATATTCAGCCCATTTTACACTAAAAATTCCTATCTCATCTTGACCTGCAGTTATTATCTACTGTTTTCTACAATGGATTCAGCAGTTTGCCGAGAATTTTCTATTTTTTTTTTTCCTTCGGTCTGTTCAACAGAAAATAAGGAAGAGCAGAACGAATAAAGCTGGATGATTTGAAGTTATTGAAGTGGATTATTTATTTAAATAACAATGATTCTTTGAAATGTATTCCAGCTGTTCTTTTCCCTACTTCCCACCCCAAAGTGATTGCAAAACACAGGGGTGAAATCCAGCAGATTCTGACAGGTTCTGGAGAACCGGTAGCGGAAATTTTGAGTAGTTCGGAGAACCGGCAAATACCACCTCTGGCTGGCCCCAGAGTGGGGTGGGAATGGAGATTCTGCAATATCCTTCCCCCAGGAGTGGGGAGGGAATGGAGATTTTACAGTATCCTTCCTATGGAGTGGGGTGGAAATGGGGATTTTGCAGTAACCTTCCTATGGAGTGGGGTGGGAATGGGGTTTTGCAGTATCCTTCCCCTGGAGTGGGGTGGGAATGGGGATTTTGCAGTATCCTTCCCCCAGGAGTGGGGAGGGAATGGGGATTTTGCAGTATCCTTCCCCTGGAGTGGGGTGGGAATGGGGATTTTGCAGTATCCTTCCCCTGCCACACCCACGAAGCCTCACCCACCAAGCCACACCACGCCCACCAAGCCTCGCCCACAGAACCGGTAGTAAAAAAATTTGGATTTCACCACTGATTTAAACCCTAAAACCCCAAATAAAAAAGTTGAAAGCTAAGAATTGTTTCGATGGGCTATTGTCCCAACTTCTAACTCACCTTTACTTTTTCAGCCGACTGAGACATGTTCCTGCACACCAAATTTCTAAAGCTGGTGGGGAGGGGAGGGGAGAGAGAGAAAAAAACACAGAACATTTAGATGTTAAATCCGAATCCTATTTATTAATGTTTCCATTTTATGATTCTTGGAATACAGAGAGACCAACCTATTCATCTACACTGAATGTGTGTTTTCCGGAACTCAAATAAAAGTGAGCTATTAAAAAACAGAAGGCTAAATATTCAGGGATGAGTCACATGGAAATACATCATTAAATGACAAATATTTAAGTTTTTCATCCGAGCCTGCCCAAGAGGGTGTTAATTCCAGTGAATGGGTCATGTTTGTGTTTTAGTAATAACAAAGTACAAACTGAACACTCTTTGGTACATCACAGAGGCTAGTTACACACAGATGGACGAATTACGAATTACTTAATCATTTGGATAGAGATGCCAGTTCAGTTCATAGGCAGAGAATCATACAATTCTGTTTCATAAGCCATGAAAGAGACAATCGCATCTCCTTTCATAGTGACAGTAAAGAGAAACCAATTCAGTTTGGTTTCCTATTGATTAAAAATTCGATTGTTCAAATTTTTTAAGAAGAAAAGCAAGGATAACAAGCTTCGCTGACATATTCCAGCTTGTTATGTCGGCCAGCAGCCTGCGGAGCTGGCAGCGGAGTTGGACAGTGAGGAGGCTGGGGAGGAACATGGGCCAGTCCTGGAGTCTGGGGAAGGCTCGGACGAGGGCTCTGCGTCGGAGGCAGAGAAAGGGCCATCTGGGAGGTACATGCTGCCTCCAGAGCCTCCAGAGTCAGACCTCAGAGAGGCAGAATAACAGGGGGAGCCTGTTCCCAGTGCGCGCATGCGCAGAGCTGCCAGAAGGCAAGAACAGTTAAAACAAAAGGGACAACTCGGGACTAAGGCTTGGAGATGATTGGCCCCTCCCATAAGACATAAAGGAAGAGCAAAGGCATGTAGGCCTTTGCAGGAAGCAACTTTGTTAATTCTGTGCAGTTTAAAGTCTGAAGCTCAGTTCGATTCTGGATTCCGTGAGGCTTTGCCAGTTAGATCTTTGGCAGCATGTGCCAAAGGGAGATAAAGGTGGGTGATTATCAGCCTTACCCCGAAGGACTCTTTACAACCAATTGGAACTCATCTGTGAATGAACAGAATTCACAGCTGTTGCAATAAAAGAGGTTTTTGGGATTCCTCGTGTGTTTTACTGACTCAGGGGGCCTAGGTCAGAACAGAGGCATCTGCCCCATCACCCCCCTCCCCGGCCCACAGGGGAGAACTACAATGCTGATCCAGCCCTCGAAGAAATCCAGTTTGACACCCCTGGGTCAGAACTTCGAATAGCCGCTAAGCAGCCAGTCGTAACTTGCGGGCTAGCTGCCATGTTTGGAATCCCGGATTGCAAAAATTCAAATTTACAGGCACGAAACTTTCAAACCAAGGGAACGCCACTAACATCCGAACGGTCCAGGCGAATGCTAATTTTGGATGGGAGTTAGTGATTGTTTAGGCGTAGACGTGCATTAAGGACGTGCCTGGGCATTTTTTTTTTTTTTTAATATACGAAATAGATTGTTTCTTTATTTAGACTACCTAAAGCCGCTGAAGAGGAAAGGCACAAGACATGTCAGCGCTCCGGGGTTTTGTCACACGTCCCTCAGCCTGAAAAGGAGGAAGTGACCTATAGAAAGACACCTGCGAGGCTCAACACAGATGTTTTCCTGTTCCAAGGAGAAGGCAGGATGCAACGCGAAGCTGTAGAGGGGGTGGATGGGTAGGGAAAAGACCCAACAGGTCAGGGAACTGCTCGCACTCCAGGAAAATGGTTAAATGGCATGTGTTTTGCACTTTTTTTTCAGCTTCGCCTATTGCCAAGCAGTGCGAGTCTTTACACACACATACACACCATCAACAGTGACAACTGATCAAGGAGAGATTCCACCTGGAAATAAGGAGAAACTTTCTGACGGTGAAAACAATCAACCGATGGAACTTCGGAAGTTGTGGGAGCTTCATCCCTGGAAGCTTTCAAAAATAGACTGGACTGCCATCTGTCAAAAATGGGGTAGGATCTCCTGCTTGGGCGGGGGGTTGGACTAGATGACCTACAAGGTCCCTCCCAACTTCTCTCCTCTTTTCTCTTCTACTCTACTCGCCTCTCGAAAAAGGTAAAGGTTCCCCTCGCACATCTGTGCTAGTCGTTCCCGACTCTAGGGAGCGGTGCTCATCTCCATTTCAAAGCCGAAGAGCCAGCGCTATCCGAAGACGTCTCCGTGGTCATGTGGCCGGCATGACTCAATGCCAAAGGGGCAGGAACGCTGTTCCCTTCCCACCAAAGGTGGTCCCTATTTTTTCTACTTGTATTTTTTACGTACTTTCGAACTGCTAGGTTGGCAGAAGCTGGGACAAGTCACGGGAGCTCACCCCGTTACGCGGCAGTAGGGATTCGAACCGCTGAACTGCCGACCTTTTGATCGACAAGCTCAGCATCTTAGCCACTGAGCCACCACGTCCCGTTCCTCTACTCTCTACTCTAAATTCTACTCTATTCTATTCTTCAGCAACCTAGATCCAAAGAGAAATTTCCTGCCATTTAGAACAATTAACCAGTGGTGTGGGAATGGAGATTTTGCAGTATCCTTCCCCTGCCATGCCCACCAAGCCACCCCACCAAGCCACGCCCACAGAACAGGTAGTTAAAAAAAATTGAATTTCACCAGTGCTTTGTAGCCAATACTTTTGTATCAAACGCTTCCATTTCTGTATCAACTACTCTTCTTTTGGAACAAAACGCTTTGATACAGTTTCCTTCGAAAGCAAACAAGCAATTAAACGGGGCTTATTTTTTCCAAACCTGTTCCAGCATCTTGTTTGGATCGATTAAGACAATTATTTTAGCCCCAACGCATTTTCGATTGTCGCTTTATCCCTGACCCCCCACCCACATACAAACACACACACGCAGCAAAGTACCGCAGCTGAACAAACACAGCTTTCAGTAGTCTTTGGATTAATTCCCAGATATTTTTCCCGGAGGTCAGCTGGATAGTTAAATCAGATTTGCTTAAGCCCTGAATGCGAGCCAACCTGAAGCCTTTTGCTTCCAAAAGTTCTGACACTCGGCACTGTGAGTTGAAGTAAAATATTTGTAATTTAATCAAGGAAAAGACCAGCAAGAAAATTAAAGGAGTTTTGGGGTTTTTTTACTTTCCATGGAGGACCTGTATACTGCACGAGTCAAAAAGAGGGCTGTGAAAATATTTACAGACCCCTCGCATCCTGGACATAAATTGTTTCAACTCAAAACGAGGCTATAGAGCACTGCACACCAGAACAACTAGACACAAGGACATTTTTTTCCAAACGCCATCACTCTACTAAAGAAATAATTCCCTCAACACTGTCAAATTATTCACTAAGTCTGCATTACTATTACTATTAATCTTCTCATCATTCCTATCGCCCATCTCCTCCCTCTTATGACTGCATGACTGTAACTTGTTGATTGTTTCCTAATATGATTTGATTCCTTATTTGTACCCTATGACTATCATTAAGTGTTTACCTTGTGATTCTTGATGAATGTATCTTTTCTTTTTATGTACACTGACAGCTTATGCATCAAAGACAAATTCTTTGTGTGTCCAATCACACTTGGCCAATAGAATACAATAGAACGGACTGGAATAGAATGAATAGATTAGAGAACAAAATAGAATGGAACGGAATGGAATGGAATGGAATGGAATAGAATAGAATAGAATAGAATAGAATAGAATAGAATAGAATAGAATAGAATAGAATAGAATAGAATAGAATAGAATAGAATAGAATAGAACAGAACAGAATAGAATAGAATAACAGAGTTGGAAGGGACCTTGGAGGTCTTCTAGTCCAACCCCCTATCCAGGCAGGAAACCCTACATCACTTTAGACAAATGGTTATCCAACATCTTCTTCAAAACTTCCAGTGTTGGAGCATTCACAACTTCTGGAGGCAAGTCGTTCCACTGGTTAATTGTTCTCACTGTCAGGAAATTTCTCCTTAATTCCAGGTTGCTTCTCTCCTTGATGAGTTCCCACCCGTTGCTTCTTGTCCTGCCCTCAGATGCTTTGGAGAATAGTTTGACTCCCTCTTCTTTGTGGCAGCCCCTGAGATATTGCAAAATATGAACTGAATGTTTTGTACCAAGAGGCTTCTGGACTTTGGCAGAAAAAGCCTTTTTGAGTGTTGAGAGACTAAAAAAAGGTCAAAGATCAAGGGCAGCCTGTCTCTTATTCAGCCCAACTCGAGCCCCCTGGAAGATGCCGTCATGCCAGAATCCCAGTATGAGATGGTGGCCTCCTCCTGCAGGAAGGAAGCCAACTCATTTCCTCTGTAACTCCAGGATACCAAAAAAATAAATATACCAGCTGGCATCTGAGGATTTCCCTCTCTGACCGCAGCAAAATGAAATATTATATAAAGTGTTCAAGTTCACAGCATTAAAAAAAATAAAAATAAAAATGCCTCGGACAAATGCCGTATGGACCTAGGGAAAAAAAGCAGGCATCTGTGTCAGAATAAACCATGGTTTATTCCCCCAGTCCTTCAAACTCATCTTTTCCATAAGACATTATGTGGTCCAACTCCTTCATTACACCTTAAAAAGGAAAAGGTAAAGGTTCCCCTCGTTCCTGACTCTAGGGGGCGGTGCTCATCTGTTTCAAAGACGAAGAGCCAGCGCTGTCTGAAGACGTCTCCATGGTCATGTGGCCGGCATGACTCAACGTCAAAGGTGCACAGAACGCTGTTCCCTTCCCACCAAAGGTGGTCCCTATTTTTCTACTTGCATTTTTTTACCTGCTTTCGAACTGCTAGGTTGGCAGAAGCTGGGACAAGTCACGGGAGCTCACCCCGTTACACGGCACTAGGGATTCGAACCACTGATCTGCCGACCTTTTGATCGACAAGCTCAGCGTCTTAGCCACTGAGCCACCGCATCCCTTTTTTCATTACACCTTAGCAAAATTCTAAAAACCAGGAAAC